GCCACATGTGCCCTGGGAGACCCTGAAGCTATGCTGTCTGAGAGTCCAGGTCTCAGACAAGTGATTTCTAGTTGCATCACAACCAGGTGTGTGTTAGCATAACTAAAGTGATGGGATTCCCCAAAGCACAAGTAAAAGATGCGTGAGCATCACTGGGACGGGCCCCTGTAGAACATGTGTAAGCTCTACAGCACCCCCCAGCAAGCACTACAACCAGAAAATATGCCTGAGCATCTCAGCAAAAGGTGTGTGACTCTTAGCAAGCACTACAGCCAAAGTGTGAGCATTGTCATCTGATGTGTGGACCCAAAGGGCACCAGAGCCAAAAGTGCATGATACCCAATGCTGTCACAACAAGAAGAGGGAAGGGTAGGGGTACACAATAAAGCTATTTCAATAAATTTTTTAAAAAACTTAAAAACTACTTCAGATGACATTTCCACAGGAGTTAAATCATCAGATTCTATTTTTGTCGATCATAAGTATTTATAGAAAATAACTTTTCTCCCAGTAAAAATTCAAAATGTCTGAAGATACTTCATTTGCTTTTTCCTATCTCCATTTTTAAGACATCTATATTTTAACCTCTACTTAATACTTTTACTAAGTATTTAATAAACCTCTTCTTATAATAATTGATACACTCACTGATTTAGCATTTTTATTTCTTCTAATTTTCATATTCAGTAGGTATATTCACATCTTTTGCTAAAGCTTTAGATTAATCAAAGAGTTATTTTCAGGGCCAGAGCAATAGTACAGCAGGGAAGACATTTGCCTTGCACATGGCTGACCAGGGTTCAATCCCTGGTACCCCATATGGTTCCCAGAGCCCCACCAAGAGTGTTCCCTGGGCACAGAGCTAGAAGTAAGCCCTGAGCACCACCAGTATGACCTCAAAACAAAACAAAAGCAAGGTATTTGCTCTCCTTTCTTAGAAGCAAAGACTTACATCAAACAATTTTGTATATAGTAATTTTTTTTAAAAAGAATAAACCCTTACATTTATCTTAGGTGAATTATCATTCCATAAATACAATACATAGGAATTTGTGTTTGCATCAAGATTATTTCTGTTTAACTATATTGTACTTCATCATTTGATATTACATCTTTTAATATTTGACAGATATCTTTAATTTGCTTTAAGTGCCTTGATTGACTTTGATCTTTATAAACCTAAGGAGGCCTATTTCTACTTATTCATTGGGAGGAGTGGTCTATGCAGTGGTATTCAGGGGCCTGGGGTCACACATGGCCTGGAGGTGCAGGTCTGTCAATTTATTGCTCAAGCCTTGTGGTGTTGGGGCAACCAGGGACCACAACCTTTGTGCTCCAAGTTCCTTGCTGTGCTGAAGATTTAACAGAGCCTCATGATTGCAAGGCATGCCCTCCATCACCTTTAGCTATCTCCTCAGCCCCTCATACATGGATTGGAAAGGGGTGCAGGTCATTCCCAGCTGTGCTGGAGCCCCAAGGGACCCCTCTCAATAATATTCCATACCTGGCAGTACAGGCCTGGTTTGATGCTTGGGGGCAGTGATACAGTGCAGTGATTGCTGGCCCTACCAGTGTTAGGTGTCACCAAGGCCCTCCCAGGGGTGGTTGGGAGACAAAAGTGAAGTAGTGCTGAAGGGGATCATGTGATGCCAGAGATCTAAATCTCTGGCCTCACACATGAAAACATGTGCTTCTAACCCTTTATTTCCTAGGTCCTCATATGCGGGTTTTTGTTGTTGTTGTTGTTTTGGTTTGGGTATGGGGTCACAAAAGAAACTGGCTCTATACTTAGTTATCACTCCAGGCAGGACTTGGGGGACCATATGGCTGCCAAGATTAAACTGTGTTGGCCTCATGCAAGGGAAGTGCCTCAACCCTGTACTACCTCTGCAGCCCCCTTTTCATACTATCTCTACAGTCCCTAATAAAATAAAATAAAATTAAATTAACATATGAGTCCAGTACTGTGGTTCTTCAACCCTTTAAACTGAGGATGGAGGTGTGTAGAAGGAAAGGTCATTAGAGCTAGAAAGTAGTAGTAGGGTAAGGAAATTATTCCTTCTTCTTACCTCTTCTGAGGACAACTCTTCTGTTCCCTGATTTTTAATACATGCACATGTTATTTCAACCGAGAAAGAAGAGATGGCACATTTCTACTTACACTAAGACCCAGGCTTAATGTTGCTTACTCTAGTGCAAATGTCCCTAGTTAAGATATACCCTCACTTTCTTATGCTTCGTGGATACTATTATAAGACTTCTCACATTTCACACATCCATTTAAGAATCTCTACAATTATTCTAGATTCTTTAAAGGTAAAAGAAATTAATTTAGCTTTCTTTCTTCATCTGACCATTAATAACTACTGAATGCATGAAAGTATCATTTACTCTTTTTAGAGCAAAGGCTTTGGAAAGTTTCCAGATCAGAGTTTTATTCCTAGGCTTTTCACTGACCAGCAATGAGAGCTCATGTGACTTCAGTTATATTACCTACCTAACCTTTCCAACCTGCAGTATCTTAATTACCTACTTAGAGCTGCATATTTAAAATGACAGGCTATAATATCCCTAGCACCCTGTCAAATGTATACCAAATGCTCAATTCTTTGGTGCTATAGCAAACACATTATTGCAAAACTAAATAAGTTCATAAAGATTACTGAAAATAATTTCCTGTATCTAAGATTATCCTGTCTTTGTTTCCAGCTGCAATGAAATTGACAGGAAACCACATACAACAGATTCCTTAGAGGTTGACTCTATGCTTAATGCAGGAAAGATTTAAGATGAATGCAGAACATCTTGTTATAACAGATAACAAAGAAAGATATCAGACAAGGCTTTCTGTCTCTGTTTTTTTATTTCACATAAAAAAGAACTTGAAAATCAAGTGAACACTTGATTTCCAATTCCAGCCACGATTAAGTAAACCAAAATTCTTGTCAAAAATAACCACGAATGCTGGATCCTAAGAAAAGATGAATCTCAGGGTAGTGAACCAAAAATCTGTAGCCTTTTTTACACTTAGGTTATTCTTTTATTCTAGACATGGGATAAGAGACTGTGGATCTAGATAAATGACCCAATCTCTGTTTAGAGGTAAGGAAACTAGCAGAAATCTTGGAAGTCTCTAGGGAAAAACAAAACCAAGATTTTCCCCTTGGTCCTAGATTACAGAAATGAAAAGTCCAGGAAAGGAGAGGAATAAAATACACAAAAAAATTTTTAGGCAGATCCTTGGACCTCATTCAAAAATAAAACCCAGATGTATTAAAGACACAAATGGAAAATTCAAGACTCTGATGCTTTTAGAAAAGAACGTAGGAAATATATTCATCATCTTAATTACCTAAAGAACTGTGGATAATATAGAATTTCTTAAACAAAATATATAAAGCTCTAATAAAAAAGGGAAAACTTGATATATTTAACAAAACTTAAGAGCTGCTCATCAATAGATAGTTTAAAGACGAACCGAACACATATATTGTAAAGCATATAATCAACACAAATCTCAATCCATAATATATTAAAATTTTTCAAGTAAAGACATGACACCGAAGAAGAAACTAGACTGATGAAACATACAAAAGGTGCTCAGTGTCATTAATAATCATGTTTATGCTCCACATTTAACAAGCTAGCTAAAATGCAAAAGTTTGACAATACCTATAAAGGTTGGGGGGGGGGCAAGGACTCATTTATGGAGCCGGAGAGATAGTACAGGAGATAAGGCACTTGTTTTCCATGCATCCAACCTGGATTCAATCCTCAGCATCCCATATTGTCTCCTGTGCCCTGCCCAGGAGTGATCCCTGAGTGCAGAACCAGGAGTAAGCCTTGAGCATAGTTGGGTGTGGCCTCCAAACAAAAAATCAATCAAACAAAAAAATTCTCATTTACTTCTTGTGAGAATTTGTACCTACTATGGAATACAGTACATGGTAAAGTTGAGGATTCACCTACAAAGACCCAACATCTCCAGTTACAGTTATTCAAAGGAATTCAGAGGAATTCCATTTATGTACACCAGGATCATGTATAAAAATGCTGATAATAAGGATAGTGTTGGTGCAGGAGCACTAACTTTGTATACTTAAAGCAAAAGCATTAACATGTATAAACTATTTTAACCCAATTGAAAAATTTAACTTTTTGGGGGGGAGGTGTTGGGCCACTCATGGCTTTGTGTTCAGGGATCCCTCCTAGCAGTGCTCAGGGAGCCATATGAGGTTCTAGGGATCAAACTGGGGTTGGTCACATGCAAAGCAGGTGTCTTACACTTTATATTAGCTCTACAGTCTAATTTTTAAAAAATTAAGCTACTGTGGTATTATTCACTATATTCAAAAACTGAAACCAAATTAAAAGAATATCAGTAATATGTTTGCTATCTTATGGTGTTACCCTAAAAATACACATTTAGAAGACTGAACAAACTATAAAAATTAAAACAAACTTCAGCTACTCAATATGCATGAGTCTTAAAAACAATCATCAAACTAAAAAAGCCATCAACCTTCCCTGAATACAGTGACTCTATTTGTAAAAAGTTCAAAATCAGCACAAACAAGGTAACTACTTAGACATGTAGACATGCGTAGTGAAACTACCCCCAAAAAGCAAAGCATCTGCCCACTACAAACCACCAGACAAAGGTTACCATCGAGTTGTCCCCTTGAGATGCAGATCGGGGAACATTCTCTTCTCTCCCAGGGTGGTTGTGAAATGGGGCCTACGCTGACCTTTGTATTCTTTAGGTCATAAAATATGTGTCCCAAGCATATACATCTGAGTGTACACTTCAAAGTTTAAAAATATGAAAGTCTGAACTATGAAAGCATTACCATCATAAAATATATATCTCCTACATTCACCCTACATTCACTGGGAAGCAGAGAGGTTCACTTTCCAGAAAGAGATTAAAGTTTGGAGGAGACAAAAGTATTAGAACCAGGTCTAAAACCCAAGGTCAGGGTTTTGTGTATTAGAGCTCATTAAGCAGACTGTGCACGCACAGAACAGATATACTGGACGTGGTGAAGTTGGTAAAAAGCTCCCCATCTCAAAAATACTCCAAATAAGGCTCTTTAAGGCTTTTGGCAGGGACATTTTATTTTTTGGTTAAAGCCACATTGACAGAAATGTCATAGAAACAACATGTAAACAAATTATCAGAACTTTGGTTCACTGAAATGTCTCACACCAAAAACATCTGAGGTACAAAGGCACCTTTGAGTGCGGTGCTCTACACAGCCTGAGTCCGCTGTAGCCACTCCAACCCTGTCTTTGGGAGTCAGAGATGGACGGGTGACCAGTGAGACTGGGGCCCACGTCAATTAGAACCTTCCCCAGTCCACTCTCTGTTCCAAACATTCACTCCTCCACAGACCTGCCTGACCAGGCCTGAACCTGCAAAGATGTCTGTTAGATTGAACTTGAAGACAACATGGGCTGTGGGGCCAGGAAGGGGCAGAGCAGAAAAGAATGTCAGTCAACTTCTGTTGATCCACACGGCCTCAAGAACTCCTGTCCTCGCTCATGGAACCACTTATTGGAGACTGTGAACAGAGAGAAAGCATGTTATAATCCTGTCAGTTAGTTCAGCAGCCCAAAGTACATGAAAACAAAGTCAAAACCAGGGGCAAGGAGAAGAATCCTTCCTGGCTGGGACATGAAGCTGAGTAGGAGGTACCCAGGGAAGCGGACAGAGAGACCACAACAGGTCCTGTACCCTGGGAGTCTGGGAAGTGGGTCAGGAGAGAAACATCAAAGCATGAGCTACCCTAAGAAACTTTCTATTCCTGATGTGTTGAGCAAGGACTGAAGGTCAAAGAAGTACACGAGGAAGCCTGGGTGTTGTGAAGAATCTGGGCATCCCTGCATACTCACACCGGGGGCTTCGGGTAGCAAAGTGTGCACTACAGGGACAGAGCAGCAGAACTGGACTTGCACTGACTGCCTGCTAAACATGATTTCATTCCTTAACACTCATAATGAATAAAACAAATTTATCCTCACACACCGCTGATGCCACAGAGCCTTTTAATATAATTTAATCCAAAGCAATTCACACTCCTAGTTGAAAAAAATCAAAACTGTCTACAAAACTTACAATAATAAACAACAATTTCCTACACACCCCACACCGCCTCCAATCCCCACTCCAGAGACCTTTTAACTCCCTCTGTTGTCTCTTCTGATATTCTAACTCATATTTCTAAATAACAAGTTTATAGTGCTACTTATTGATTTTCCATCTTGGAATTCTTTTATACTATCCCCAAACCTCATCCTTATTTCCCCCTTAGGCTTCCAATATAATTCAGTCACAAATCTTAGTTAAATTTATCAGTGTTTCCATTATTATGACATACAAATGATGTGTCCTTTAAATGATGAGTCACCTAAATTATACTGAAGTATTTTTTGTAAGGGCTGGAGCGATAGCACAGCTGTAGGGCATTTGTCTTGCACTCGGCTGACATGGCCAACCCGAGTTCGATTTCTCTGCCCCTCTCGAAGAGCCCGGCAAGCTACCGAGAGTATCTCGCCTGCATGGCAAAGCCTGGCAAGCTCCCCATGAGGTATTAGATATGCCAAACACAGTAACAACAAGTCTCACAATGGAGACATTACTGGGCCTGCTCCAGCAAATTGATGAACAACGGGAGGACAGTGCTACAGTGTTACAGATTTTTTGTACAACTTTTTCTTTTCCTCAAATAGGCATTTGCCTTATTTTCTATTGCTTGCTTTTCTGTGATCTTATCATTATTATCCCAAAAACTCTCCGGAGGGCTATAAATTCATCTCTTTGCCATCACACCCTATCACATCCTTTCCACGGCTCCTCACATCTGCCCATAACAAGACTCAGACTCAAGCCTCTGGGGTCAGTCCCAGCTTCCAATCTCTTCTGGCCTCCACATCAAGACTTCTCCTTATCCAAGTGACAAATGCAGCCAGTCCCAACATTTGTGATGCTGAGCTCTTCTATGTGGACTTTGCTAGTCTAGGACATCCTCCTCTGGTGTCAACTTTTGTCCCCACCACCCTGCAGAACTCTCACTAGAGCCCACGGCATAGGGACCTCTCCGAGGCCTGATGCAGGCACCACTATGCATCCTCAGGGCCTCCTTGGCAATCTGGGCCTCTCTTAGAGTGCTCCCAACCAGGTGTCTTACCCCAGGTAATAAACATGTAGCTGGATGAGACCAGCAGTTAGTGGGAAAGGGTAGGAACACCTCAGAAAGGGATAGTCTCAGTTCTGTGAAAATCAGATAGCAGTTGCCACCCAGCATGGGTTCTGTGAGAACCAACACAGCCTAGACCCAGGCCTCCAAGGTCAGCACCACGCCGGAAGTCACTCACCCCACTTGCAGCCCACAAGCACGGGGCAGGCCGCATGCCTCGTCCGATAGTCCCCTTCCCCACTCCGCAGGAGGTTGTACCAGAACACAGCGGTGCCCTGGGAGAGAGACAACCTGTCAGCTAACGCGCTTAGAGAGATGGCTCAAGGACTCAACCCCAAGTTCCAGAGAGCCTTCCCTGAGGAAAAGCTGACCATGCCCAGATGGGAACTTGTGCTCTGGGACTCCAGGAACAGAGCAGTTCCCCTAGCAGGCCTCTGCCCTTCCTCGCGATGGCATACATGTTTAGAATCCCACCATCATCACCCAAAAGTGCTTCTCAGATGGAAACTGGGGCCATAACGATCAGGAGAAGTGCGCAGCCATCTTACAGTGAGAGTTAGGCAGGTGGGGCCGCCCAACTGGATGGCATGGAACAGGCCTGGGCCCTATTCCAACCTCTGCCCCACCAGAACCAGAACATACCTTCTTTGGCCAAATTGCAGCTCCCAGATCAGGAAAGACAGTGGCACCACCTGCTTCTACATCACTCATCTAGGAATGCAAAACACAAGTTACCCAAGACTCTCAGAGCACTCGAGTCAGAGACCATGACAAGATTGCAGAGTGCCCTCCCCTGGGCACTTTGGGCAATGCACAGAGGCTCTGCTTCTGCACCAGAGCCCAGAAGGCTTTTTCCCTCACCGGGGGCCTTGAGTCCTGCCTCATCTGTGAGTCTCCACACAACAGTCTCCAGGCCCAGGACTCAGGAAGAGCTACAGGCTTGCCAGTGGCCTCTGTCCCATGTCCTCTGAATGCTGGGGACAATCAGGAACTGTACTTGCAAAATGCCACCTGCACCCCAATCCCCTTTCTCCCCATCCAGTCTGGGCCATGTCCCCGCACTGCATTGCCCTGACCAGTGCTCCCTGCTGTTTCCAGCACTCTCTGTGGTCCTCACTAGAGCTGCTTCTCCTGACACTAGGAACCTGCTGCTCCAGTCATGCCCTCACCTTCCCAGGACAGCCTCCTCCAGGGTGGGCGGGGAGGGCGCGTGTCTCCAGAGGCCCTGCTTTCTCCTGCGGTGAGGCCTCAGACGAGACGGAACACAAGTTCCACGGTGGTGAGGCTGCACTCCTGCCCGCAGAGCGCGCCTCAACTCATGCCTGAGCCAGCACTTCTTTCTCATCTGGCTCTCTTAAGTGTTTTGGTTTGGTATTTTTCACCTATAGTGTAATAAAATTTGGAGCTAAAAAAGTATTTCCACAGGACACATTCCAGACAGACTAGCACTCAACAGACATAAAGTAAAATGAATAAGATGGAAACCTCTTATGACTTCCGACTCTAGAGATCCAACCCAGACTGTTCCAGAAAACAAAGATCCTGTCAGTCTCGCCTACCTCCCTGGCCCCTCTCAATTCATAAGCTGCCTCTGAGCTACTCTCGTTTTCTATTTTTCCAAACATCTCAAGCTCCTTTCTCGGTCTCCAGACATCCTCAGCACCACCAGAAGGCATGTTCCACCAACTAATTTCCTCTCCACCTTCAAGACTCCACTAACATGTTACCTCCCAAGGGAGGCCTCCTTTCGAGCCAGCCGCCAGCCCTGAGCTAGTTCTTCAAAGTGCTAAGTCACCATGGTAACTAATTTCCCTCTCCGAATTTAACTGAAAGCTCCTGTTTCAGCCCATCAGACCCACAGGAGATCCCGCCCAGGTCCTCCTCAGCAGCATTCATGGCAGTGTCCCTGTGCGCCCCCAATCTCCCAATATAACCTCCACACCATGAAAACTGAAGTGAGACACCAAGGAAAAACTGGACACGGGTTTCACTCTCTTGGCTGCTTGACAGCTTCTGTGCTCCTTAGGCTGGCTCTTTCAAGAAGAGGAAACTGTTCCTCAGGTAAGAGGGGAGCCCCACTAACTTGGCTGGGGCACAGGTAGTAGGTGAGAGGCAGCCAACAAGCTCTGGGGAAACAAAGGGGGCTTTCATCTAAGAGCTCCTCACAGCACCCACATCACTGTGCTAAGGTCACGGGACCCTCCACTGCCCTCAAGGTCTAGATTAGCACTGGGGCCCTCAGAAAGGAGGCAGGAATAAGAATGTGAAAGGCCTGAGGTGGGGAGTGGCAGGGGTGGAGAAAAGGGGCCCACAGTTGGGAATGGAGACCAGCTCTCTACTCAAGCTAAGAAGGAAGCTGAGGGCTGAAGGGCCTGGCCAGTGAGCAACAGCTGATGGATCACCCCACAAGTATGGGTGACCCTTCAGGCCAGACACTGCACACATCATACTCACGTAGTTTAAGAACGTGGCCACTCGATTTCCCGTCCCTAAATGCTTGAAAACATCTTGCTCATCGTTCTATAAAATTAAGTGAGAGTGAACAGACGGGCCTGGACCCGATACTTACATAGTTAAGAAACGTTGCTAACCTATTCCCCTCCGTTTTGAGGCCGCTGTCAAAAGGTCGCTGCAACAAACAATAACTTTCACCCAACTTTGCAACTGATTCACCCGCCACCCGCAGAACTGGGGTCAGAAAGGTCCAGAAGGGGTAATAAGCATGCATGTCACCCAATGGCCAGAGCACCAGTCCAGACTCAGAGGAAACCCGGGGCAGGGGACAAGAGGACGAGGGGCAGGAACCACTTTCACAAAGACCCATGAGTTCCTGTGCAGAGTCGGGGCTGAGTCAAGGGGCTGGGCCAAGGGAACACTCCAAACTCCGCAGGCCCCTCATTTCATACTGGGTCTTCTCCAGCAGTCAAGAGACCAGGCAGGAAGGGGACTGATGTAGAGGCTGAAGAGCTCCGAGACGCTCCAGCCTTTTCAAGAAATCAGCTGGAGGGGGACCCTCCAAAAGCACCCCAGATTCAGGCCTTACCCTGGAGAAGTCGAAGTGTGGCTCATACTGGCCGCCCATTCCATAATTAGCAACCTGGCGGGAGAGAGCAGCGTCAACAGCCCTGAGACAACACCATCTCCTTGGAACAGCATCTCCCCAGGTAACAACCAGAATAACTTGGACCCCCAAACAGTCAGAATCTCCAAGAACAGCCTTCCTAAAAGGGAGAGTAACTATGCCCTGCCACCACAGGCAGAACACATACTGCCAACGTGTGCCCAGCTGTGCCAGAAAGTGCCCTGCGCACAATGTGGCTTTCCAACAGAACAAGAGAGACTGGGCCAACTGCAGTCGGGTCCCTGTGGACGAGCTCCAGCCCTGCAGGGGCCTCAGGCAGCAGCAGAGCCAAGCCCTGGACTAGGCTCTATTTGTTTGGGAGATAATGAGGAGGCACTCCCAAAGGAAGCCACCAACACCACATTCAAGATTAGGATTTGTTTTTGAAGGACCACACCCAGAAATGCTGGTGGATGGGGTGGGGAGTACCAGGCAGTGCCAGGGAACGGACCTGGGCCTTGTGCATGCCAAGCATTTGCCCTTTAAGATATATGTCTTAACCGAAACTGAGAGTTTCTAAAAAAAGAATTCAGCCTCAAAACCAAAAAATAAATAAAAAGAATCATTGAATGAAAACATGATTCAGTCTTCAAGACTCCTGTGTCCAAAAGACCCAGAGATCCTGCAGACGGCACTAGGAGACCTGGCTCAGAGGGCTGGGGTGCACCCCAGGAGGGAAGTGCTGGACTGGCTTAAAGGATGACAGGTGTTTTCTTTGGTTTCAGTTTAACAAGAACTTTGAGGAAATTTTATTTGATTTTTTTCAGTGCTTGTAAGGCGAACGCCCTACCCGCTGTGCTATCGCTCCAGCCCTGGAGCGATAGCACAGTGGGTAGGGCGTCTGCCTTGCACGTAGCCAACATGGCCGACCCGAGTTTGATTCCTCCGCCCCTCTCGGAGAGCCTGGCAAGCTACCGAGAGTATTCGATATGCCAGACACAGTAACAACAAAGTCTCCAATGGAGATGTTACTGGGCCCGCTCGAGCAAATCGATGATCAACGGGAGGGCCTTTACTTTACTTACTTACTTACTTTTTTTTCAGTGCTGGATATTGAACCCAGAGCCTCACACATGTGATACATATGCTCAATCACTGAGCCACCACCCTTCACCCCCATTAAACACGATTGCGATTAATAGCATGAACCCAGGACAGTTCATTCACTGCTGTTGTTTGGGCTGCAGATAGAAAGCTTAAACTTGCAGACACCAGATAGCAAAATAATCTGCAGTGTTTAGCTGGCACTTTTCAACACAGTTTGGGGAACTATACTTGAACATGGTGCTGAAGAATTTGTGCTTTATTTGATATTTGTTCTGCATTATTTAATTCTTTCCCTTCCAATGGTGAAAACAGCACAAAAACTTCCAGATTTGAAGCTATCAAGTTGGCAGGTATGGTACCAGTCCCCAGAATGATGATTGATGCAGCAAAATTGATTCCCAGAGCCAGGTAGTGAGGCACTTAGGGCACATGTCTAGCATGACAGGGATCCAGGTTTGATTCCCAGAATCCCATACACAAGGTCCCCTGAGCATCATCAGGTGCATCCTGGAGGCTCCTGAGCACAGCTGGGTGCAGGCACAGAGCCCCCAGCAGCACTAGGATGACCGGTGTATCCCAGCACTGCAGGACCCTTGTCTGGAACCGCTGGTGCTGCTTACTGAGCATTGATGGTGGAGGCGCTAGACCTCATAGTATTGTCCCCAAAATACTGATTCCTATGAGTAATGACTTATTTGAATATTTATACATTTGTGATACCAAAAGTAGAAGAGTCTGTCAGTGGAAAGAAATGGGTGTTTACAGTGCTGAGGTCAGAGAGGTCATGACACTGAGTCAGAGTGTCTTCAGTCCACGTGCATCAGAGAATGCAGTTGCGCCTCCTCTATCTAGCAGGCCCTTGTCCAATTCACAGGAAAGTCTCAAAGGCCAATCTTCCAAACGATCTATAGCAAACGTGTAACTACAGTTGAAAGTGTTGATGTAGGGGAGAGGACGGGGGGGGGGGGGTGACAGCACAGGGGTACGGCATATGCCTACCTAGGGGTAGGGAACTTTCCTACCTAGGTTCCATCTATGGCACCATATATGGTCCCCAAACCCATTAGGAGTGATCCTTGAGCTCAGAGCCAGGAATAAGCCCTGAGTACTGCCAGATGTGCCCCCCCCCCAAAAAAAAGGGAGGGAAAAGAGATGAAAGAAAGTGTTGACTGGTAGCAAAAAATACAGTTCTTTACCAGAAGCCTTCTGACAGTTACACAGAGACCCTAGAGTGCTGTTGACACTGGTGTTTAGGATGGTATTGGATCATAACGCCAGCAGCCCATAAGCAGGACCTCTTAAGAGATCAATGCTGGATCAATGCTGGGGCTGGAACAATAGCATAGCAGGTAAGGCATTTGCCTTGCATGCAGCCGACCTGGGTTCAACTCCCAGCATCCCATATGGTCCCCTGAGCACCGCCAGGAGTAAGTCCTGAGTGCATGAGCCAGTAGTAACCCCTGTGCATTGCCGGGTATAACCCAAAAGGCCAAATAATAAAAAAGAGAGAGATCAATGCTTGAAATCCAGGCTCTTGGCCCACCCAGACATGCCTTGCAAACTGCCAACCCCAGTTTGAGTCCTGGCACAAAATATGGACTCTCAGCACCACCAGGAGGGAACCCTGAACATAGAATCAGAAATGAGCCCTGAGCTCAGCTGAATGTGACCCAAACATCAAATTTATATGAAATAAAGTAAATGCAATATTGTTGGAAATTAAAATATTATATATAAATATATAATATATATTTTATTATATAAAAATTGCATAGCATTATTTGCATGGGGGATCTGGGGGATTGTTTGTGGATAAAAGCACCTGCATTTCCAGAGTGAGGCTGTGACTTCAATCCCTGGTGAGGCCCACGTGTTCTGGGAAAGGTGCTAGCAGCCAGAGCTGCAAGAGTGTGCGATCTCAGGCATGCAGTCTGCAAACACAGCAACTGAAGTGTGTGGCACCCAGTGGGCAGTTGTAAATGCCACAGTCATTCCTGGCAAACTCTGCAATAATACTGTGCATGAGCACCACAACTGAAATGAGTGGAACCTATGTTAAGTACCAAACACCACGGTGTTTGTTAAGTACCATGGTGACCATGGCCACCACCACCACCAGCAGCAGCAACAAAAGGGAAGAAAAGGGCAACAGGCCATGGGATCGAGTAATTTAAAATGCTGGTGAGCATCACAACATTCATGAAGATCACCTTTCAAAATTAGTTTTCTTTTTTTCTTCTTCTTTTTGTTTGTGTTCCAGGCCACACCTGGCAGTGCTCAGAGCTTATTCCTGGCTCTGGGGTCACTCCTGGCAGTGCTCAGGAGACCTTATGGGTGCCGGGGATTGAAGCAGGTCAGCCATGCGCAAGGCAAGTGCCCTACCCACTATACTAACTCTCTAGCCCCCAAAGCTGATTTTCTGATTTCAGTGATTAAAACAAACAAACAAACAAACAAACAAAAACCCATGCAAGGGGCTGGAGCGATAGCACAGCGGGTAGGGCGTTTGCCTTGCACGCAGCCAACATGGCCGACCCAGGTTCGATTGCCAGCACCCCATATGGTCCCCTGAGCACCGCCAGGAGTAATTCCTGAGTGCATGAGCCAGGAGTAACCCCTGAGCATCGCCGGGTGTGACCCAAAAAGAAAAAAAAAAAACCATGCAAATGGGTACATCCAGGAAAAAGGTCCAAAGAATCTTTTGCAAGCAATCTTCATTTTGATAATCTAATGAGAAGTGTGATTGGTCACACCCAAGCCTAAAGGCAAAGGGTGTGCTCCTTAAATTCACATTTAGGGACTCTGGAAAAATGCTAAAATGCCAGTGAAGACTCTCTGGCAGTGTCTCAGGATGTCACTTTGTAACCCATGAGCAATGACATTCAGAAAGGAGCAAAGTCAGTGTTGATTTCAACTCAATAGACCAGGCAGCACATTATCAGGAGCTTTATTCAGAACCTTTCAACACTGGGCTGCCATGTGTCTTCACAACCACCCCGGAAATAGAGGCAAGAAGCCAGGTGTCCCTCAGGGAGTAACAGAGAAGCGCACCCACGTTCTCCAGGACACTGGTTCCAATCTCACTTCCACCAGTGTTTCCAAGGAGCTGAGGAGATACTTAGAGGCAGAGCACATGCCCAGCATGACCAAGACCCTAGTTCAATTCCTCAGCACTGCATGCACCCCACTCCAAGCATTACCCAGTGTGGTCTGGGTATGGCCCTGATGACCCCCAAGCACCAGCAGTCCAAGAACCACTGGCTGGCACCAGACAAGTTCTGCTGTGAGTAGCACCTATTGATAAAAATCTAAAACAAAACAAAACACTGTATCTCCAAGCGCATTTAACTGTGACTCAGGACAAAGATCTCTGAAAATATTTATAGCTCGCTTAGAGGTGTCCCTGGGAAAACTCAGAAATTCTGGAGTAGAGGAGATAGAAAGGAGCCAACCCATCCCTGATCCCTGTCTCTTAGCATGACACTTTGGTGTTCAGAATCTCTGTCACCAGTTGTCAAATGCTAATTGAAGTATGTCAGTGGGCATGCTTCATCCTGGTTTCCAAATGTAGGGTCACCCATATTCACAGCACTAAGCAGGCATATAGTTTACTGGCCCAGTTGTGGCGCCCCACTGAGCCAGAACCCCCCTTCCCATGCCAGGGTGCCTGGAACAGCCATACCTGCAATAATTCTGCTGTCTTTACTGTTAGCCCTGTGATGTGTTGCATCCGAAGATTCACTCGAGCCACAACTGGGTCATCATTCTCCTCCAGCCAGGAGCTGTGCCAAAAGGAGAGAAAGGCAGGTGCAGAAGGCAGGCTTTGGTGAGCTTCTGCAGGCTCTCCCCAGAGCCGGGGCCACATGAACAGACAGCGCGGGGGAGAAGCAGAGGCAGGAGAAGCCACGCTACCCTCCCTGAGGAGACCCCAACAACACCCCATCACCTCCTCTGCTCACCTTTTGGAAACCCTATAGCTGGCAGTTGTAAGGACACCAGTCTTGGGATCACGAACTGTCGCTCTTGCAAGCTGGAAGACAAGAAGAGAGCAGAGGATAATGGCATGGTCTTGAGAGGTGATTCCTCCAGATGCATAGATAAGAAAAGGCTTATCTATGTATCTGGGCATGGGGGAGGAAGATTCACAGCTTGGGCTGGGGCAAAGCCTCCTAATTATGCAAGCCAGGCCATGTCATTAGTCAGAGGCCCAAACAATTCAGTTCCTGACTCAGAATGGTCACCACACACCCTCTCTCTGCTGGCTGACAATCGTGCCAATGGTGTCTTCTCTGCCCCCCACCCAGTTGCCTGGATAGCCCCTTCTCTCCAAGTTCTCTTACAACCCAGGTCCTAGGATCACCTTCACTGACTGCTCTCACCCCATCCAGACTGTGCTGACACCTGAGCCAATCTCTGAGACACCCCTTTCAACCATCTTATCATCCTTCCCCTCCCAAAAATCCTACCCACACCCTCTCCTGCACCTCTCAGCTCACAGGAGATCATGCAGCTGCCAGGGGTGGGTACAGGAGGCACACAGTTCTCACTCAGAATCAAGGAAGCATTCCACATGCTGACACAAGAGCTTGCCTGGAGGCCAGAGAGACAGTACAGCGGAGAGGGCGCTTGCCTTGCACATGGCCGACCTGGGTTCCATTCCCAGCACCAACTCTGGTCCCCCAAACCGTACAGGAGTGATCCCTGAGCGCAGAGTCAGAAGTAAGCCCAGAGCACTGCCGGGTGTGGCCCCAAATCAAACAACAACAAAAGCTTCTCTGGGAGCCACCCAACCCGCTTACATAGCCTCTACCTACCTGAGCTCCCGAGAGACACCCTGATGCTCCAGCTGAGTCCTCTCCTGACACACGGGTGGGCCACATACCCACCTCAACAGCTCTTCCTTTCACTGCAATGGGTGCACTATGTCTACTATGCATTTGACACTGTGCTGAGTGACCAGGATGTGACCCTGACCCCCAGAATTCAGTGAGTGGAGGAAGCTGAGTGAGGGGGGACCAGCTTCCTGCAAGGACAGTCTGTAGAGCCAATGATGATTTCAAAAGGAGAGAACCATTCAGCCAAGAGTGGAGGAGTAAGAAAGAGGTAGCCAAGGAGGGGCGCTATGAGAGAACAGGGAAGGAACAGTGCTAAAGGCTGAGGCTAAACCAATCGCTTAAAGCGGGTAGGTCAGAATGGTAGGTACATGACTTCTCTTCAGATAAGAGAAAGAAAGGCTGAAGAGGCAGGTTGGGGATGTGGCCTGGATCCAACCTTCGGCCAGTGAGAAGCAGGGATGCTGGCAAGGGACATTTAGAATCTGAATATTGGTGGGTAGAGTTAGCACAGGGGTTAGGGTGCTCGCCCTGCATGTGGCCGACTCAGGCTGAATCCCCAGCCCGACTTATGGTTCCCCTAGGACTCAAACCTGGTAACAGAGCCAAGTGTAGCCCCTTAGCATTACCAGGTATGGCCCCAGCCCTACCCCCAAAGCAAAGAAGACAATGAGAAGGATGAGGCAGAGGTCAGGGACAAACTGATCAGGACAGAGCAGGAGCACCAGAAGGGCTGGGGAGGAGTGACAAGAGAAAACGCATCAGGGGCTAACACTGACTGGACACAGCTGGGGCTGCATGTTCTGGTACAATGGCAGGTACATGATGCCACGGGATCCCTGAGCCATGCCCAGGCCCGTGCTAAACTTCAATACAGGCCGGCCTCTCCCAGATGACAACTGCAGCCACTGCCAGAGCCCCTCCAAATACCCGAGTTGAGTGCTGGCCTGATGCCCACAGGCAGCTCTGGGCAGCTGGGCCTGGCTCCTGGGGACAGACGGGTTATTTTGAAAGTAGGCTGGGGACACACAGGCAGCTGCCAGGCATTCCACACAGGCCACACTAAGCCCATGGGCCCTACTTCAAAGCCAGAATAGCATCTGTCCTTCACAGACTCCGGAAGGCAGAGGTCAGCTCGTAAGCATGCGTGGCTCTGCATTTGGCTTCTGTTCAAAGACAAGTTTTTCCAACATTGCCCTGCCCCCCACTGTCACATTACACACTAGTGTGAACAGGCACCCACCGCAAATATTGCAAGCATGTGCAAATACGCAAACACACACACAGAGTACACACACACACACACACACACACACACACACACACACACACACACACACACACCTTCTCCAGGATCTGTGTCTGAGGGGCAGTGAGGTATCCCAGAAGACTGTCAAGCCGGGGGAAAGCAATTTTCTTCCCTGGATGGAACTGACCTGGAGGTGAATGCGGGTCTGCTTTGCATCTGCACACAACTTGTTCAGACATGCCTCGGTCACATCAATGATGCCACCAACTGGCTTGAAATCTTAGTACTCAAGTCAAGGTCATTCTAAGATGTGGTCCAGGGGCCGAGGCTGGAAGCTGTACTAGGTCTCTCCTTCAATTCTGGGCTCTCTGAGCACAATTCTATTATGTACAAAGCAATAAAGGATCATGCCAAATTCTCCCTCCTAATCACCAGTGATAGGAGAAGGGTAGGGATATAACAGCAAGTAGTGTCTTTCAAAGACGCCAAATGGTAGCAAATCTTTTATGAACTAGAAATAGAATAGCTTTACAACATAATGATATATATATACATATATATATATATATATATATATATATATATAACATTAACAGCCAGCTGCATACTTGGGAGTGAAATACTAGAGGAATTTCCAGGAAATTCTGAAACAAGACGAGGATGCCTTTTGTAACAATACTCCAGAATCTCCAGGTGGTACGGTAAGATAAATAAAAGAACTATAATTATTAGGAAGAAGACAAAATTGTCCTTATTTGCAGTTCTTCATTTTCTGGACAACCTAAATAAATCACCTAAAAACCCAAAAACTCAAAGAGGAATAAGTGAGTTCAACAGCTACCCCTGTCCCACACAATTCACAACTTCATCATGGAGAAAATAATGGCAGAGTCTGCTTAAAAGACTCAATTTTTAATAAATAGTTAGCACTCAGAACAGGTTCTTCACTCCTAAGTTGACAAATATTAGTTATCTCTGTGAAATATGGTTTAATATCAACAGATGAGTATAGAAAAGTAAACCAATATAACTAGTAAAAATATAATGAAGGAAAAAAGTCCTGTGGCAGGGGTTGGAGCAACAGCACAGCGGGTAGCTGCCTTGCATGCAGCCAACTAGGGTTCAATTCCCAGCATCCCATATGGTCCCCTGGGCACCGCCAGGGGTAATTCCGGAGTGCAGAGCCAGGAGTAACCCCTGTGTATCTCTGAGTGTGACCCAAAAAGAAAAAAAAAGTCCTGTGACAGTAACAGAAAGCTAAATAGAAATAAAATGGATCAAGAAATGTTAGGGATGGGGCCGGAGCAATAGTATAGCAAGTAGGGCATTTGCCATGCACGCAGCCTACCCAGGTTCAATCCCCAGCATCCTATATGGTCCCCTGAGCACCACCAGGAGTAATTCCTGAGTGTAGATTCAGGAGTAAACCCTGAGCAAACCCAAAAACCCCACTAAAAAATAATTTTACAAAAAAGGAAGAGAGGAAATGTCAGGGAGGATATTTAAAAAGAAAATTTTCTTGGTTTGGGGGCCACAGCCAGCAGTGCTCAGGAATACACCCCTGGCTGTATATTCAGGGATCACTCCTAGCAGGGTTCAGGATACCATACAGGGTGCCAGGGATCAAATCAGGTCGGTCATGTGCCAGGAAGCGCTATACCCATTAAACTATCTCTCCAGCACCAGAAATTTTAAAAGTCATGAGTAAATGGGGAAAACCAAAATATTCCTAGGTAAGAACTAATATCACGATAATCCCCCTCCAAGTTTTGGCTTTGCAACTCATCAGAAGTGCCTCAGATCCTGCCTTGCAGCACCCTAAAACCTTTCATCTTCTCCAGCCCTTGAACCAGGCCAGCTACACTTCTCATTGTGGCCCTACCCCAGAGCTCTGGGCTGCGCATGTCAGCTCAACGGACCCTGACTCCAGCACATGCTGCACAATTTCACAGGGTCACACTGTGGCTGAGCCACCAAACCCACTTATGGCATGGGACAAGAAGGAACAAGGGCAGGCAGTGACATCTACCTTAGGTTTTGCAATCTCCTTGATCCTCTCGATTTCCTCATCGGACATGACATCGTAGTACCTGACGATGTGCGGGCTGTCCCACTCGTCCTCCTCTTTGAAGGGGGCGATGAGCAGCTGTGGCGTCCCGTGGCCATGGTGGTACCTACAGAAAAGCCTCTTCTGCCTCCGGGGTGTCTGGGGAGCAGAGAATAATAGGATCATGACTGAGTCCAAATTCTCACCCTCACCCCAAGTCGAACAACTGCTCCCTCCGCCATGGCACCAATGAAATAAAAGGGCCCCAGTGATCCCACTGTGAAATGACACCCCACAAATCACTCTCTCTTCCAAGAATCCCTTCCATTCACAGGCCCTAGAACAGAGGGTCACTGACCCCTTCCACAGAGACGTGACCAGCTCTGAGGGGTGCCAGCAAGGGGAAGCCTCTGGGTGGGGGACTGCGGGGGGAGCCACAGAGACTCGGGCATGGAAAATGCTGAGCACTGCCTCAGCCCTGAGCCTCCCTGAGCTGGCACAGGGAACTCAAGTTCCTCAAAGGACAGGGGTCATGCAAGCTCTGCCAACTGCTGGCTTTTTGCAATAGAGACCACAGATTCCGATAGGGACCATGACACTCACATCCCTAGTTTTCTTCCTAATGGTTTGGAACCCAGCATAACGGGCACATGGGCAGGGAGTGTTTCAGGAATAACTCAGAGGGCTGAAATTCTACTTGAAGCATCAGCTTCCCATTCTCCACCTCAGAGAATAACCCCATGTCAGCCTCAGTAGATGCTGCAAGGAACAGAGAAAGATGCTGGGAAAATGACCTAAAGGCAAAGGAACATGCTCTCCAAGTCCATGGAGTCCAGAGGTAATATCTAGGTCCCAGTCTGGGCCCCTGAGCCAGTGACTGTGACTCACCAGTTTGACGCCCTCCCCACGACAGAGGCTCTCGTACACGTCCCTCTCGGGCAGGTAGTCCGAAGGCCTCTCGTAGAAGCCTTCCTGGGTGGCAGGCTCGGCTCCTGTCTGATTCAATACTGTTTTCTCTCTCTCTTCCTCCAACAGTCGTTCGAAGTACCGCAGATTGCCTCCAGCTCGCTCGTGGCTCGGCTCTAGAAAAGAAAAAGGACGAGAAGGAAGAGGAAACCACAAACATCTGTTAGGTCACTTAGAGAAATTATTCTGTAAGCGGTTTCTCTCCCGGCAGCTTCCTTGCACATAGAGCACTGCCCTCGCCAGCACTCAGCTGGGGTTCACTGGGCAGAGAGGAAAAGACAGCAGAAGCTTCCCCCACTTTGGTGAGAGATGAGAGAGGAGCAACAGAGAGGGGGATGCTTAACCAGCTACCACTGTGGGTTCCTGCTCACACCTTCTGGGGGCATCTCGAGGAAACTGGTCCAAAGTGTCGCCTCTCCCTCCCCACTTGGTCGAGTGCAGTGACACATGTCCTCTGGAGCACAGTCATTGTTGTGGAGACCATCACAGGCTAAAGCAGCAGTACCAAGCACAGTCACAGGACACTGCCACCTCACACCAAAGGCTTGGATGAGACCACCATGCCCCGCCTCAGAGCAGGAAACTGAAGTCCAAAGATATCAGAGACTGATCAAAAGCTACAGGCAACAGGAATGTGACTCCCTGGGCAAAGTGCTGACTAAAACCATATACTCCTCTCCCTGTCTGCTCCTCGCTCCTGAGGCTGCAGCTTGTGAACCATCAGGAGGCAGCAGAACAAAATGTGAAGGTCTCAAAAATATCTGAAAAGTATGTCTACAAGATACAAAGACAGCCCATGGAATGGGAAAAAACTATTTACCCAATACCCATCTTATTAGCACTGGTAGAACTTTCCAAGAACAAAACATCCAGTTCCATAAAAAAAAAAAAAATGGGGAGAAGAAATGAACAGATACTTCCCCAAAGAAGAAACTCAAATTGCAAAAAAGCACATGAAAAAATGCTCTACATCACTAATTATCAGGGAGATGCAAATCAAAACAACAATGAGATATCATCTCATACTACTGAGACTGGCACACATCAAAAGAACAAGAACAACCTGCACAGATGCAGGGAGAAAGGGACTCTCATGCATTGTTGGTGGAAAAGTCCAGCCTTTCTGAAAAACAATATGCACATTCCTCCAAAAACTAAAAATTGAGTTCCTATATATGACCCAACAATACCATTTCTGGGAATATATCCTGGAGGCCCAAAACACACAGCAGAAAAGTCATCTGCATTTCTCTGTTCATTTCAGCACTATTCACAATAGCTAGAATCTAGAAACAACCTGAGTGCCCAAGAAAGATGACTGGATAAAGAAACTATGGTACACGATAGAATACTAAACAGCTGTTAGGAAAAATGAAGTCATGAAATTTGCTTATAAATGGATGGATATGGAGAGTATCATGCTGAATGAAATGAGTCAGAGGGAGAGGGACAGACATAGAATGACAGCATTCATATGTGGGATATGAAAAAAACAGTATGAGACTAATACTCAAGGATAGTAGAAACAAGGATCAGGAATGCTGGTCTATGGTTAGAAGCTTGCCACAAGTATGGCGGGGGGGGGGATTGTGGGAGGAGGGAAGTTAGGATAGGGAAGAGACCACTATGACAATGATAGTTGGAAATGATCACTCTGGATAAGAACTAAGTGCTGAAAGTAGGTAAAGGGGTACACATGATAACCTTTCAGTGCCTGCATTGCAAACCATAAGGGAAAGAGACAGAGAAGATGAGAGAGAGAGAGAGAGAGAGAGAGGAAAAATACCTGCCATAGAGGCAGGATGGTGGGGCGTGTCAGAAGGGAAATTGGGGGCATTGTTGGTGGGAAATGTACACTGGTGAAGAGACAGATGTTGGAACATTGTATGAATAAAACCCAATCTTGAACTTTCTAACTGTATATCTCATGGTAATTCAATTTAAAAAATTATATCTAAGACGTATTTGGGCCAGAGAAAAAGGATTTAAGGAACTTGCCAATGCTAGTTCAATCCCTACCACCACACCTGGACCCCCTAACACTACCAGGAGTGACTTCTGAGCACAGAACTGGGAGCAAGCCCTGAGTAGTACTGGGATGACCCAAAAATCAGAATTTTTTGAACTTCTTTTCTTTGTGGCTTATTATCAGAAAGTTAATGGTTTATGTACCTATTTTACATACCTATGTCCCTAGTATAATGTATTTTTCAGCAAAGAGGGGTGACAAGGGGGAAAGTTTTAGAAACTCTGCTGGGTGACCTCGGGCTCTGGGGGTTAAAGACAGGGTGCATTTCAGAGCCTTCAGTAAAACAGCTCAAGATGTTTACAATGCCCGTCTCATGGTAAGTCCCACCAGGCAGGCTGTAGGTTCCTAAGCAATGATCAGGTCACTGTCACCACAGCCACCCTAGCAGCCGGGTTGCCCTACTCAGGAACTGCCCATGATATGCAAAAGCTCTTGCCTACAGCTCCGGGTTTCTGATCTGAGAGGGGCACGCAGGAGCCGGGTGACACAGGCCTGGCTGTCTCGAGCAATGAACGTGGTAGCTCTGCAGTCAGAACTGAGGTGGGAACAGAGCTATCTGGCAGCGACCCCAGGCCTGGGCGCCGTGAGGCACTAATCACAGAGCAGGTGACAGAAGAGCCTGGCCCAGCCCCAGGAAAAGGGCCAGTAGATGGTCCCAGTCGCCCCATCCTCCTCTTACCATCCCCAGAACTTCCTTACCAAGGGCCAGCAGGCGGCGGGTGAGCTCCAGGGCGCGGTGCAGGTCACCCAGCTGGAAAACAGCATAGCTCAGGTAGTCAAGCGCCTCGGCCTTCGTGGTGGTGGCTTCCTCGCCGGTGTCCAGCTGCTTTAGCACCTGCTCCATCCACAGCACTGTGTGGTAATAGTCCCCTTCGTTGTAGGCCAAGCGGCCCATCCCGAAGCAGTCATCCACACTCAGCAGCGCCTGGTACTTGGTTCCTGCAGCAGAAGAAACACAGTCACGTTCCAAAGAAGCTCAGGGCCAGGGAGAGATGCCCACATCCAGGAAAGCCTGGGCCACTGACAAAGGGCCTGACCACGGCAGTGTCCCACAAGGGCTTCAGGACACACCCCCAAAGGGCCTATGGCAGGGTGGGCAGAGTGAGGCTGGCACTGCTTTGGGCTGAGGGGCATAGCCCATCTTGCCTCCAACTCCCTTTCTCCCAAGTGGGAAGGAGCCTGTGTTTGGAAGAAGCCCCCCAAACCCACCAAGAAGTAGTGTTCAGGAAAGTAAGAAAGTCCGTACTGGAGAAAGTGACTGCTGGGGAGGAGGCTACGTGCACGTGAAGGGTAGAAAAATGAAATGAATGTGAAAAACAGGAGTTATGCCCAGACACATAGTACAGCAGGGAGGGAGCAGGGAGGGAGCTACAGCATATAGCAGAACCAGGGTTGCTCTCCAGCATCTCATATGGTTTCCCAAGTCTTGCTAGGAGTGGTCCCGGAGCACAGAGTCAGGAGTAATCCCTGAGTACTGCTGGATGTGACCCAAAACCGTAAAAGAAAAAGAGCGGGAAGGGAAGGGATAGGAAAAGGGAAGGGAAGGGAAGGGAAGGGAAGGGAAGGGAAGGAAAGGAAAGGAAAGGAAAGGAAAGGAAAGGAAAGGAAAGGAAAGGAAAAGAAAGGAAAGGAAAGGAAAGGAAAGGAAAGGAAAGGAAAGGAAAGGAAAGGAAAGGAAAGGAAAGGAAAGGAAAGGAAAGGAAAGGAAAGGGGGAGGAAAGAACACTGAGAAGGACAGATGAGGTGGAAAAATGAGTAAGTGTGAGTGAGTCAGAGGCTGAGGAAAGCCAGGAGTGCAGTACCAGCTATGGCCAGCAGGTGGCAGGAGCCTAGAGGAACATCAACCAGTAAAACCAGTCACTGTTGTTCGTCTGCTGTTGGGGGCTGAGCTTAGGAAAGTGAGACTGCAAGACAGTCTCAGATCAAGAACAAAACGGAGAGGTATGCTAGCTATGACAAGATGCAGCTTTTGAGTCGGGGTAAGGTGGGAGGGACTAGGAATGCACTCCTCTGAGAACAAGAAGCAGCAGGTTCCCTGAAAAGCAAGGGGAGTGCCCTCAGTCTGCTCACAGCCGGCTGGGTACAGAGGGGGGTCCTTATGGTGTTCACTCCAGGATGAAACTCCAGCTCCAGGGGCCTGACTGCCTCTAAGAATAAGGTCAGCTCACCCTGAGAACCCAGGGATGTATAATGAAAGTTAATAAGCTGAGGAGAGGGGCTGGAACAATAGTACAGAGGGTAGGGTGTTTGCCTTGCACACAGTCAAACCCAAATTCAACCCCCGGCATCCCATATGGTCCCCCAAGCACCACCAGGAGTAATTCCTGAGTGCAGAGCCAGGAGAAACCCTTGAGCATCACTGGGTGTGACTCCCCCCCCCCCCAAAAAAAAAGCTGGGGAGAATAAACACAAGATGGGATCAACAGCTCGGAGATCAGAAGATTCCTTGAGACCCTGTCTGTTCTCCACAGACCTCCACAGATCTCTAGCTCTGCAGCCGCAGAACTCTATCAGAGGCAGAGAGGCACAGCGGAGTAAGCGAGACAAAATCCAGCCTATGCGGGTCTCACTGCGGCACCCGTCAGCTGTGTGACAATGCACGAGTTCCTCAGCCTCTCTGATTCTCAGCCTCCTCATCTCCAAAGAGAGATAATTTTGAAGGACTTGTGCCAAGAATTCAAAATAATGATGCATAAAGATTCTCCTCTCATGCCCAGGCTGCTAATAAGCAGTAGTTATTATCAATATGCCCCAGAGATATAGAGAATGTGGAGAATAGTCCCAGGCACTTGGCATCCTCCCCAGAAGCCAAATTGAGTATCACCCCCTAGAGAGTGCTCCTGGGAAAGGAACTTGGAATTGGCCCTGAATATGAAGCACGTGATCAGGATCAGGAAATCAAGTAATTACAGGAGTTCAAGACCACATGGAGGATTATTGTAAGCAGTCAAGCTGTGAAAGAAGAGAACAATATTTTAATAATCCACTTAAGAAAGGAGCGGCCAGGAGGCTGGAGTCAGGGCCTCCACAACAGAAGACGCACCCTCCACAAGCCTGAGGGCTCTGGCTCCGTGGGGAAGGGAGGTATGAGATGAGAGAGAAGAGCAGACAATGTAAAGACATATGAGGACTGGGATCAGAGAGAGAACAGGGTCTAAAGCAGGGGACTAGCATGTAACTAACCCTGTCTGATCCCCGGTACTACCAGGTGTGATCCCCAAGTATAGAGCCAGAAGAAAAGAGAAAAATGAGCCCAGGCAGGAGTGGTCCAAAATCCAAAAGCAAACAAAAAAGATGTAAGGGGGTGAAGGCCAGACTGAGTGTTCAGGATAAAGAAACCAGACAGTGGAGAAAGGGTGTCTACCGCTCCTCAGAAGCCTAGGCAGGAGGGACACACAGGTCAACAGCAGAGGCGCGAAAGGGTCTTGGATTCAGAGGGAGGTGTTTGGAAGATGAGTAAGAACTGAGCCTGTGTGAACTCAGGGGAAAGCATGCAGAGAGTTCAGGGCCAGGGATAGTGGCGGTGAGTCTAAAGACCAGCCTTGGGCAGGAAGGAATTGGATAAGGGCAGATGGAAGTGGGTCTGGATGCACCTCAGTGGGGCCCTGAGGTGCAGAGGCTTTCTCTGGGGAGCAGCAACTTGGCTTTCTCTGAGGCGATAGAGGAAGGTTTCTGGGCTCGTATGTGAGGGAAACAGCTGGGCAGGGGTGAGGGAGGCCGCTGGCACGGGGATGATGGAAGACTGGTAACATGTGAAACCTAGAAAAGTGCCAGCCTGAGGTGCCACAGTACCTGAGGGCAGAGATCACAAATCTGAGGTGACTCCAACCCTGTGTGGACCCTGAGTGCCACGTGCGAGACAGCCACCCCTGAGGGCTGAGTACCTGGGAGTTCCCCTTTGGAGATAGTTTCTGCATCCAACCGATACGTATCCTGCAGCCTCATCAGCGCCTTGGCAGCTCCCGCCTCATCCTCCTCTGTGGGGAAGAAGCGCCGCTGCACGGAGAGGTTGGCGATAAACCCTGTAAAGGAGAGAAGGAGGCCACACGTCACCCTGCAGCCACGGTGGATCTCACCGGGACCAGAGCATCCACTGGAGGGTTTCTGGTGAGGGCAGTTCTCCACTGCCCCTGCCCTACCCCAAGACGCGCCTCTCACATCTTGCCGTGCTGCCTGCCTGGGCAGTGCATCTGGAACCAATCAGAGACTCTGCGTGCAGTGCAGCACGTGAGTCTGGGAGTTCTGGCTCCAAGCACTGTCACAACTGGCAGCAGCAGAAGGGACAGAAGACATGGACGCTGACTGCCGGGGGCACAGGACTGACTTGGGGGTGGGGTGGGAAGGAACTTAAGCATACCTGAGTAGAAATGAGTAACACGGACACTCTGGACCCAGACCATCCACCTCTAGGCCACTTCTCAGGTGGAGTGGCCCAAGAGACAGAGGTGGTCAGCTGGAAACTCATCACTGACCTCTGGCCCTTACTGCTAAGTGACTTAAACTGTGGGTCAGGTCTCTATTTCTCTCTCTCTCTCTCTCTCTCTCTCTCTCTCTCTCTCTCTCTCTCTCTCTCACACACACACACACACACACACAAAGTTTAAAGTGTTTTTGAAAAAATTTCCTGGAGCCAGAGCAGTAGTGGGGAGTTTGCCTTGCATGAGGCTGACCCGGGATCAATCCGCAGCATCCCATATGGTCCCCCGAGCCCACCAGGAGTAATTTCTGAGCGCAGAGCCATGAGAAAGCCCTGAGCACTTCTGGGGAAGGCCCCAAAAACCAAATAAATAAATAAATTTCCTTTGATATATTATCAGTAACTGTTTGGTTTGCATGCCTATTTTATATACCCAGGGCTGCGTAAACATTTGTCAGGTGAAAGGAGGTGGCAAGGGGGCAAGTTTCAGAAGGTCTGCCCTAGAGAAACAGTGATGCCAGGCCTGGGGAGCTCAATGCTGCCCCCAGCGGCTGGGAAGGGGAGACAGGCATGAGGCTCGCAGGGCCAAGCCAGGCCAAGTGCTGAGGCAGCACTGTGCAGTCCAGCAGAGGCCCCTGAGAGACCACACTGGGTCTTGCTCCCCTCTCTAGGGAGCCCCCCGCCCCCACTTAGACCAGTCTGACCTCCCAGGACCATGGCTTGGAGCCAGAGGAGCTCCTGATCCCAAGGGGCTGTCTTGGGACTTTGGATCCTTAGTTACAAAGCAAGGCATGCACCTCCTGGGTGGGGCCCGGGGCCGCCCACGCTGAATCAGCGCCTTCAAGTCTGCTGGGAGTTGACAATTTGGGGGTGGAGGAGAGGGGTGAAGAACAGCCTCCAAAGGCATTTCTTCTGCCTCTTCCCCCAAGCAGCAGCATCCAGGGTCATCTACTCCCCTTGCCCCCAGACTCAAAAACCCACTCGCAGCCACGCCCAGGGGCCCAGGGATCACCAGACTGCTTGCTATCCTGCCCAGGCTGCAAGGTCTGGAGCTCTGATGAGCTAGGAATCCAGGAAAAAGAAAACATGTCATTCCCCACCCCCCCAGTCCCCCCCCCAGCCCCGGAACCCCCATACCCCCTCCACCCCCCACACACACTGAAAAAGCCACAACATCAATAACTGTACCTCATGGTGTTTCACTAATAAAAATAATAATAATAATAATAATTAATAATAATAAAACTTCTACAAAAAAAGTCAACCAAAATAAAATAAAAATCATTTTGTTTGTGAAAAAAAAAAAAAGAAGAAGTAAGAAACAGAAGGAAAAGCAGCTCCCGCTCCGTGGGCGGGGCTGTCTCCTCCAGGTAGTTTTCCAAAGGAACCAGCTGTTGACAGGAGGGGCGGGGAATGGAGAACAGGGCTAGTGAGGAGGAGATCTGGGGACAGTCTGAGTCTCCCACCACACAGGGAACAGCCAGTTCTGAGCTCCGGGCAGGCGCAGGCCAGGCTGGAGGTGGGGTTTGGGAAAGGCAGTCAGGGTTCCTGAGGCAGTGAGCTCACTGGGCAAGGATCCAGCCCGGCTGAGCTCACAAGCCCTCCCCAGAGGCCTCCCTGCCCTCAGCCAAACCCGGCCCAGTCTGCTACACAGGCCGAAATGCCTTCGCCAGAGACGACTACTCCAAAGTTAATCTCTCCCATGGCAGGGAGAAGCAGAGAGTTCAGGAGACTGAGAAAGAAGTGAAGGGTCAGGAGGGGCCACGCGGCCCATTCCGCCCTCTTCTGTCCAGAGGAAAGTTTCAGCACATAGGAAATACAACCACAGGAAAAGTCCAAACATAGCCCAGGCTGAAAAAAAAAACACACACACACACAAACATATTCTGATCTGCAAACAGATACCACTTCTGGAGATTGATTTTAAAAATAATCAGACATGGGAGGGGGGTATGGAAAATGAGGACATTTGGTGGTGGGAAATGTACACTGGTGAAGGGATGGGTATTGGAACATTGTATTGGAACACAATCATAAACAACTTTGTAACTGTGTATCTCACTGTGATCCAAGTAAAATAATTATTTTTTAATCAGAGGCCCAGAATTTTTTTTTAATCAGCCAATTTCCAGTACCCCATATGGTCCCCCAAGCCCACCAGGAATAATCCCTAAGCAGAGAGCCAGGAGTCAGCCCTGAGCACTGCTGGGTTGGGGCCCCCCAAAAAAATAAACAAATAAAATAATCAAGAGATGGTTACAGATATGAATCCATGAGAAAACTGTTGATAATTTAGAATAATCCCCAGTCCAATGACATTTATCCTATTTCAGGATGGCAGGTTATGATATTACAGAAGAACACATAGTGGGAATTTAGAAAAACTAGAAAATTCAAGAGGAAAAAGATATAGGCTGTTTCACAAATAAAACATAGCTGACAGCAGATTTGTGAAATGCATGAATGGAAGTGAATTTAGGTGAGGTCAGGGTTATCGACCTTACCTGGGCCCACTGACCCACCCACTGAACTCAATTTTTAAGACTGAAGCAACATTGGCTTACCTCACTGTGTCTATGTGTTGGAGGGCTTTTTCACACTTCACCCCCACCAGAGTGCCAATATCCCTCCATCCCCATATTAGACCCCTGACTTGCAGTGAGTTCATCCCCCACATCTGCAGTTCTGTGATCTAAGTCCAACAGTTAGCTTTGGATTGGTTTTGTCTGTTCTTTTACTTTGTTTCTTTATATCCCACATATGAGTGAGATCATCTAGGATTTGTCTTTTCTCCTTCTGATTTATTTCACTTAGCATAATACCCTCCCACTCCATCGATGGTGTCAGAACTGGCAAGATTTCATCTTTTCTAATAGCCAAGTAATTTTCCATTGTGTATTTATATATAATTTTGTTATTCATCATTGGGCTCTTCTTTCCACATCTTGATTAAAATATATAGCACTACAGTAAGCCTAAGACTCTATGCATCTTTCTGAAGTAACATTTTTTTAATTCTTCAGATAAATACATAGGAGTTGGATTTCTGAATAATGTAAGTCTATTTTTAGCATCTTGAGAAACCTCCATACTGATTCCCAAAGAGACTGGACCAGCTAACATTCCCTCCAGAAGTACAGGTTCCCTTTCTTCACTCCTGACCAATACTTGTTTCTGACCTTTGTGATAAAGGCCATCTCACAGGTATGAAGTGATAGCCACCATGTGCTCTTAGCTTCTCTGACATAAATTAACTGTCATACATACAGATGCTGATGTAGCACAGATTAGACATTCCATGTGACTTTTCCATGGTCATACTATTTTTTTTTTCAAAGGGGGCTCCATCTGCAGCCTGAAACATTGACCCCTTTTAGTAGGGAGTAGTCAGATAACTTTTTCCCCCTATTCCTCTATTACATTTGGAGGTCTCTGCTGAACAGGGGAAATGACAGAGACAAGGGGAATGGGTAGTGCAAGATTAGGAATATGGCCCTTAAAAAAGGAATCACCTGGTATGAAAGATCACAATGGAGGCCTAGGTGGTGCCTAATAACTTGGATGACCCAGGCCCTGCTGGATCCAGACACCAGAAGATAATTATCTCACCGTATTCTCCCATGATTATAGCCCACATTCTTTTTTTTCACCATTCATTACATTGAGTTTTTATTTTTACTTATTTTTTATTGAATCACAGTGAAATACACAGTTACAAAGTTGCTCGTGATTGGGTTTCAGTCATATAATGTTCTAATACTCATCCCATCACCAGTGTGTATTTCTCACTACCAGTGTCCCCAGTTGTCCTCCCCTCCCCCACTCCATCCCCCTGCCTCTAGGCACTTTTCTCTCTCTCCCCCTCTCCCTCCCTCCCTCTTTTCCTCCCTCCATTCCTCCCCTTCCCATATTCTTTTTTTTTTCATTTTTTATTGGTGAATCACCGTGAGGTACCATTACAGACTTATCCCTCCCATATTCTTAAAACATGATAAAGAAATGCTCACCCACCTACCTTTGTTAAAAAGATATAAAAGGGAAAAGGCTTCAGCCTTTACTTGGAATCCCACTTTAGGAGAACCCTCCCATATTTCTCTGCTTTACTGTTCTTTCCTTTCTGTTTCCCTAAAGGCTTTTACTGAATTCAGGAAGAAAAAAATTAACTGTCAATGTGTGTGTGTGTGTATAGGGGGGTGGTATTCCTGGGATCACAATTCTGCTCCACTGATTTATGTGTCTGTTTTAACTCTGCCTTGTTCTTACTATATCGTCCCGCTAACTAATGCTTTGTATTACAGTTTGAATTTGAGACACATTTCTCAGGATTCCTTTGACTCTTTTGGGTCTTTTGTAGATCAAGACAAAGTTCAGTAAGTTTATACTATTTTATTTAATAACTGCTATTAAAATTTAGATAGGAATTGAAATGAATGTATATACTGCTGCAAGCTCCCCGTGGTGTATTCAATATGCCAAAAATAGTAACAACAATGGGTCTCATTCCCCTGACCCTGAAAGAGTCTCCAATACAGCATCATTGGGAAGGATGAGTACCAAGAGGCTGCTAAAATCTCAGGGCTGGGATGAATGGAATGGAGACGTTACTGGTGCCTCCTCCAGCGAACTGATGAACAATGGGATGATAGTGACAGTGATACAGTGAGTCTTCCCTGGGGGCCAAAACAATAGTACGGCAAGTAAGGAGCTTACCTGTTGCACATGGACGACCTGGATTTGATCCCTGACATCCCATATGGTCCCCAAGAACCACCAGGTGTAATTCTTGAGTGCAGAGCCAGAAGTAACCCCTAAGCACTTTCAGGTATGCCCCCCACCCCTCAAAAACTGCTAATTTTCCAATTCATGAGCACAGAACATCATTCTGGGTTTTGTGTCTTCTCTGATTTCCTTTAACAATGTCTTATTATTTTGAAGAAATTATAAATAAAGTTCTTCTATTAATTTCTTTCACTTATTTCACTACTTGCATATAGTAACACAACACTTTTTTAAAAATTTTTTGGGCAACACCCAGCATGCTCAAGAGTTACTTACTCCTGGCTCTGCACTCAGGAATTACTCCTGGAGGGCTCCAGAAAGCATATGAGAGCAGGTTGGCCGAATGCAAGACAAATGCCCTACCTGCTGTATCATCTCTCCAGCCCTGACAACACTTTTTTTTTGTATGTTGATTTTTTTAGTCTGCCAATTTATTATACTGATATACTATTTCTAGTCTTTTAGTGGCGACTCTAGGGTTTTCTATGTATATTATGTTATCTGCAAACAGAGACCATTTTACATTTTCTAATTTGAATTCCTTTCATTTCATTTTCTTATCTAAGTGCGCTAGTGAGGATTGTCAATCTATGTGGAATAATATGTTAGAGAGGACAATCTTGCCTTGTACCTAATAGAGAAAATGCTTTCAGTTTTTCACCATTAAGTATCATATTAACTATAGGTCTGTGATATACAATCTTTATTATGCTGATATATAGTCCATTTATCCCTAATTTATTGGAATCTTTATAATTGGGCACTGAGTCCTGTTAAATGTTTTCTCAGATTTTATTTATTTTTGTCTTTTCATGTATTAATGTGATATATTATATTTCTTTGCATGTGCATAACTCATTTTGTTTATTCACTTGCTCCTTCAAAAACAGTATACTCATATTACTTGGCAGATATCTATGGTTCTACTGTTTCTCAAGATAAATATTCATGTGTAAAATTACTAGCATTTTATATGTTACTTATCACTAGGAAATTTTATCAAAAATTGCAATTTTCAAGATCGGAGAGACAGTACAGGGATTAAGATGTTGCATTGCACTGAGCTGACCAAAATTTGATCCCCAGCATCACATGTAGTCCCCCCAAGAACAGTCAGCAGTGATCCCTGAGCACAGAGCCAGGTAAGCCTTCAGCACAGATTGGTGGGGCTAAAACAAACAAAAATTGTAATTTCTACTTGATTGCTTTTGTGCTTTCCAAATTCTTTGTGAAAACATGTATACTAAAATGTAATTAGGGGTGTGGGGGAAGTTAACCCCAAAGAAAGAGAAGAAATAAAAACACCAAGAAAAGGCAAGGAAATGGCATTATCACATACTAAAAACAAGAAAAGGGCCAGAAAGAGAGTACCACAGGTAAGGTACTTGCCTTGCATGTAGCCACCTAGGTTTAATCCCCAGCACTTCATACAGTCCCCTGAGCCTGCCAAGAGTGATCTCAGGAGCGATAGTATAGTGGGTAGGGTGCTTGCCTTGCATGCAGTCAACCCGGGTTCGATCCTGGCATCCCAAACAGTCCCCATGCACTGCCAGTAATAATTCTTGAGAGCAGAGCCAGGAGTAACCTCTGAGCACACTGGGTGTGTCATTCCTCAAAAAAAAAAAAAATAGTGATTCCTGAGCACAGAGCATCCCTGAGCAGCTCTGAGTATGACCCCAAAACAAAAATTAAATAAACTGGATCTGGAACAATAGTACAGCAAGTAGAGCATTTGCCTTGCACACGACTGACCCGAGTTCAATCCCTGGCATCCCATATGGTCCCCTGAACAATACCACAAGTGATTCCTGAATGCAGAGCCAAGAGTAAGCCAGAGCCAGGAGTAAGCCCTGAGCATTGCTGGGTGTGACCTCAAAAAAAAAAGAAAGAAAAAAAAACCCTAAATAAACAATGATAGTCAATTGCCAAGTCCCACAGAAAAGGGAGTATCCATGGGACTTGCGGGTCTATGGCTATACACTACACATGCCCACACACACCTGAACCCAACAGTTCAGACCCCCCACACACACCCACACCCCAACAAGCACACAAACACGGACTGGCTCACCACAGCACTGGCTCGTTGCCCCTCACCTGCGGCAGAGTCCTGCAGAATAAGGTCCTCCAGCGCCAGCCAATCTGTGTTCAGCCGCTTCACCAGTTTGTAGGCATTCACAGGGTGGGCCAGGTAGCCCTCAGGGTCAGCTGCTGACTTGCTGGTCAGGGCCTCCATTTTGTTGGCCCAACTGAGAAAGAAGGGATTTGAAAAAGGACAATTAACACACCTACCCACAGGGGTCTTGACCTGTGGTGAGATTCAGGATGCTTCTCATCAGAAAGCAATAAGCTATATGAGTAAGCCCCAGCATCCCGGAATACTTCCACCCCCCTTCATCTAGATGAAAGCTAAGAAACTAGCACTGCACTGTCCTGTAGCACTGTCCTCCCATTGTTCATCGATTTGCTCGAGCGGGCACTAGTAATATCTCCATTGTGAGACCTGTTGTTACTGTTTTTGGCATATCGAATACGCCATGGGGAGCTTACCAGGCTCTGCCATGCAGGTGGGTTACTCTTGCCCACATGGAGGAAACACACACCAATCCTAAATGTGTCTGACCCCAGGGTATATCACCTCTGCTCATGTTCCACTAACCAAAATAATGCACAATCGTCCCTGATGTCCAAAGCAAGACCACCTCCTGCAAGAAGCTCACCAGGGCACTGAAGGCCAGGAACAAGCCCCCCAGCACTCACACCTAACTTCTAACTTTCCTCGCTGAGAAGCTCCTACCCTGGGCTTCTCACCACCCCACCCCCTTGGCCTGCTCTATGACAGTCTCTTCGTTGTTCACTTGACATATCCACACATTCTTCTTCTGTCCTGCCTGGGTAGACTGATTTTTTTCATCTCTCTCTGGTCTTTTAAGGAGCCATCCCATGCCACTACCCCTTAGGTTTCATCAAAAGTCATTGGGAAATAGTTTTCAAGCACACAAACCCCTCACTCAGCCTTTACTGAGGTCACATGGACCATGTTGAAGAGACTGGACTCCAGGGCTTTCTTCCATAGAGCTGTTTGGGTCCACAGGTTCAGGCCGACAGATCAAAGGGTTGGACAGTATGCCTGGCCCCCAGTTAGATCCCTGACACTATGCAGCACCCCAAATACCAGTGGTTGGTCTCTCAGGCACCCAATATTCCCAAGCACTGCAAATGTGAGGCTTGCTCTGTCAGATTAAGTATTGCCAGGAATGACCCCCGAGGCCGCTGGGCCCTTTTGGGGACCACTCCCCCCAAAAAGAGTCCACAGTAGGTTCTCTAAACAATATTACTATTGAGGTTTGGAGCTGAATGATTATTTGGAGGGAGGGGCTGTCCTGTGCATTGCAGAGTGTCTGGCAGTGTCCCGGCCCCTCCTCACAAAATCCCAGTAGCACCCTGAATTATGATGATCAGAGTGTCCCCAGCCCCTGTCAGTGTCCTCTAAATGTCTGCAAAAAGTCTAGAAACTAAATGTCTGCAAAAAGCCTTCAGTCCATAGCCCATATACTTAGTTACTCTGGAAAACTGGCTTGAAACAAGCTACAGATCAGCCACACATGCCCTATCAAGAGCCTCTGAAGGGCACACTCAGGGTTCTTCGGGGAAGAGGGGCAAGGTATAAGCTGACTCAGGGCAGGGTGGGAACACAGGATATCAGACCTCTTAATCTTGGAGAGTTTAGCTTCCTCCACAAGGATGTACTCCTTCAGAGACTGTACCAGGTCCTGCTCTGCATAAATCAGGTCTGTCATGTGCCCTGCGAAGGAGAATGAAAGGGTCAGGAAGGAATAAATGAGGATATCCAGATCCCATCCTTTAACAGGCAAGCCCAGCCCGGAGAGAAGCAAGTCCCCTGGGCCAAGAGCATTATCAGTTTTTTATTGTTTTATTTTGTTGTTGTTTTTTTTTTTCAAAGATGGGGCTGTGGGAACTGGAGTCAAAAGAAGTCCAGGAACTCACGTGGTTGTGGTCTCTGGTCTCAGGGAGGGGCAAAGGTAGTAAGAAACTAAGGTAAGTGCACTAGGAGATGCTTCCAGAAGGAGCACCAAATCTCACTCTTTTACTACTACACAGCTAGTACATGCATGTCATGGGGCATGCATAATCTCTGGGCTTTACCACAAAGACATAAGCTCTGAGACTGTAGGTGAGGAGAGAAGGAAAGAATCTACTAGAGTGCTCTCTGCTCAAAACCACTCTCTGAATCGGTAGACGGTCAGAAAAGCTAAGAAGTCCAGGAGTAGCCGGTACTTCCCAGGGACGGTCCCTGGGTCAGACAGCTGGTCCCTAGCATACTCAGCTCATCAGGAAGAACTTCAGAGGGACCAGAGAGATAGCACAGAGGGTAGGGTGCTTGCCTTGCACGTGGCCAACCTGAGTTTGATCCTCAGCATCCCATATGGACTGCTGAGCCCACCAGAAGTGATTCCTGAGTGCAGAGAGGCAAGAAAAAACCTGAGTATCACCAGGTATGTCCCAAAAACCAAAGGAGAAAAATGTGAAAAGTGGTAAGTCTACAAGTTTCACTTTCCTGCAAACTAGTGAGAAACAGAATAATGCAGGAATAGTGCCGGGGCTCAGAGCACCTACAGTGCAAGCATATGGTCATGAGTCCAAATCCTCAGTGTCGGGGCTAGACTGATAGCATAGCAGGTAGGGCATTTGCCTTGCACGCGGCCAACCCGGGTTCGATTCCCAGCATCCCATATGGTCTCCCGAGCACTGCCAGGAGTAATGCCTGAGTGCATGAACCAGGAGTAATCCCTGTGCATTGCTGGGTGTGACCCAAAAAGCAAAACAGAAAAACAAATCCTCAGTGTCCCATATGGGCTAAGCACAATCCTGGGAGCTCTGCTGTCTGTTTGCTCCCCAGCACCTCAAATGGTTTCTAGCCATACCTAAGCATACATAAGCACCACAAAAAAGGTGTGCAACACCCGGTTACTGCAATTGAAAAAAGATGTGAAATGTATCCCAACTGAGCACCAGCAAACCCCAGCAAGCTCCACATTGTAACCGCATGTTTCGACAAAGAGCGAAACCCCAACGGGCACCAGAGTGAAAGGAGGGCAGACCTCTACTTGCACCACGTGAGCAGTGCTCAGCACTAGTGCAGCCAGGCGCATACCAAGTCCCTGGTTATCGTAATATCAACAAAGACAATGGGGGAGGATTTCAAAAACAAACAACAGCAGTTGAAGCCACATGCCCTAAACAAGAACAAGCCCGAGGCAGCGACTTTGCCCAGCACCTGTGCAGGTGACTCTGACAATCCTATTGGTACGTACCAATCGAGGTGAAGAATTCAGCCTGCACGGAGCACAGGACACTGAACCAGGCCGTCAGCAAGGCAGACACCCGAGGGTTCATGGTCATTGGTCACAGAGGGCTGCGCCTGCAAGGCATTCAGTAATGGTCCCTAGATCAAAAGGAAAGCAAATGCCATGAGGGGACTATCATGTGTGTACATACACTCACACTGAGACGACCACATCAAAGCCAGCAAATAAGCAGGGTCTTGGCCAAAAGTGGCCTGGGCATGACACCAGGGATGTGGCTATCCAGCCCTCTCCGGGAGGCCCGTGACCCTGGGGGAATCTCTGTCCACCCACCCCCAATTCAGCATGGGAAAGCTGGTCAGCCCTGAGGGACCATCACCTCTAGTGCCCAGTGCTTCTTTCACAGCACTTGTCTGTTCCGGTTTTTCCAGTCAACACACATGCATGGGACCCAGATCTAACTCACAGCCCTGCCTACTGGTCTAGTACTGGGACAGGAGAGGTAATGACAGAGAGAGAACTGGGCACATTGTGCCAGGGGACCAACCCCTGAGGTGAGTTGTACAGGAGATCATCAGCTAGGAGAGGGGCGAAGCTGCCCCCTGCCCATTTGCCCCAAGCCACAGAGAAGCTTCTGGGGAAGTCAGTGACCTCCCTGAAGAGAAACCACTCACACGCCCTCAGCCTGGGCGGGCTGGGCTGAGCTGCTGACATGGGGAAGAGGCCAGCCGCTGTCTGCTCACCCATCTAGAAATAGCCAAGCCCAGTTCTCAAGGCCACGGCCACAACCTGGAGCAATGCTTGCTGGCAGGGGACCCAAGTACACAACGGAAGCTCAGACATCCATCCCCCCTGCTCGGGCCTGCAGTGCAAGCATGCAATCCCAGCTCCAACCCCAGCCCTGCACCTCCCTTCCTGCTCTGCCTCACACAGGGCTCCCAAGGAATTTTACTGGGAGAAATCCAGGAATATGGAGGAAATACAAATGCTCCCCCTAACAATGCATCTGAGGTGACTGAACCCTAAGTCAGCTCATGCCAGTTTACCCACTGCTGACAGCCCCGCCTATTTGTGTCCACACACCCGACACCCCACCCTTCAGAAGAGAATCAGACCCAGGATGGCCGCACCAGGTCAGAGATGCCCAACCCCAGCCCACCCCCAAACAGATGCCTCAGGCTGGAAGAGGAGGAGAGGAACACGCTCTATTGGTTCCTGCTCCAGCCCCATGTCCATGTTCAAAGCCAGCATGTCCACAGAGAGCCCAGAGATGCCCAGACAGGATCCTTCATCCCAGAACCTGCCAGGGTAGGGGATATCAGGATCGGGGAACTACCAGGGAGTGGGGGGTAGTAAGTCACGGAAATGGGAAACCACCAGATTAGCCCTAAGGGGAAGTCATGGCCATCTCTGTCGAGCTACACATGTGCTCCCCCACCCTCACTGCGCCTCCACCCTGGATTCCAGAAAACTTTTCTTCATGCTTACACAGTCCTCACAGAAGGCCCTGCTTGCCCTTTCCACTTCAAGAGGTCTGACGCAAAAGGCTCCTTCTGTAAGGCTCCTTCAGGGAGCGACGGGAAACACAGGGCCGGAGGCCACGTTGCAGACATGGAGGAACCAATGAGCCATCGGTCAGGCTGGAGACCAAAGTGGACACAGCTGGAAGAGAGGGATCCAGCACTTCTCAGCTGTGTCACCACGCAGAGCCAAGCATCTTCAGAGACAAAATTGAGGAGAAAAAGCCTCTTACTCCCTTCTGATCATCCTGAGAGGCTGTCCATAGTTTGCATCTTTCAGCGGTCTGGGGCAGGGGTGGGGGGAGGGTGGGAAGCAGCCAGCTTCCCTCAGAGCCTCCTAAATTCCAGTTGCCATTTCTCCGGAATGAGCTATCGGGGCTAGCGGCACCCATCCACAGTCCACAAGCCCCAGTGCGCCACAACCTGGGCTTCGGGAAGCAACACAGCAGGGGTCTCTCAGCCCCACTCTGCTGGGAAGCAGAGGACACAGTCTGCTGGTCCAAAGAACCAGACACCCCAGAGCAGCACCCTGACTGCCACTATCAGCCCTGTCACCCCAAGCAGGGGAGACTCCTTTCTCCTGATCTGTGGGTCTCTGCATGCTAAAGGCTTGGCGCAAAGATTATCCAGGGCTGGGGAGAATGCTCACGTGGCAGAGCAGATGCATCACATGCACAAATCCCTGGGTCCTATTTCCAGAATCATATGGCCACTGGAGTTTCACTGGGTGTAGCTGGTGGCACCTGAATTCCACTGGGTGTGGATCCTATTTTTAAAAAAATAAAGTCACCCCATTCTTCAAAGAAATTGATCAAACATTCCTAAAATTCATATAGAACAACAAGCCCTTACAAATAGCTAAAGCAATTGGGGGGGGGGGGGGAAGGATGGGAGGCATCACCTTCCCCAACCTCAAACTGTACTACAAAGTGGTAATAATTGAAACAGCATGGAATTGGAACAAAGACAGATCTACAGACCAATGGAATAGGGTTGAATAAACTCACACACACCCTCAAATATATGATCATCTAATGTTTGAGAAGGGAGCAAGAAATATAAAGTGGAGCAAGGAAAGCCTCTTTAACAAATGGTGCTGGTAAAACTGGACAGTTACATGCAAAAAAATGGGCTCAGACCTCTACTTAACACGATGCACAAAAGTCAGATCAAAATGGATTAAATACCTCAACATCAGACCAGAATCCATAAGGTACATTGAAGAAAAGGTCAACAAAACCCTCCATGACACTGAAGCTAAAGGTATCTTCAAAGATGAAACATCACCGAGCAAGCAAGTAGAAACACAGATAAATAGGACTATCTTAAACTAAGACGCTTCTACGCCTCAAAAGAAACAATGACCAGAATTCAAAGACCGTCTGCAGAATGGGAAAGGATATTTACCCAATACCCTTCTGATAAGGGGTAAATACCAAGGATATACAAGGCACTGGTTGAACTCTACAAAAAGAAAACATCCAATCCCATCAGAAAGTGGGGTGATGAAATGAACAGAAACTTTCTCAAAGAAGAAATCCGAATGGCTAAAAGGCACATGAAAAATGCTCTCCAGGGACTGGAGCGATAGCACAGCGGGTGGGGCATTTGCCTTGCACACGGCTGAACTGGGTTCAATTCCCATCATTCCATATGGTCCCCTGAGCACTGCCAGGAGTGGTTTCTGAGTGCATAAGGCAGGAGTAACCCCTGTGCATTGCTGGGTGTGACCCAAAAAGCAAAAAAAAAAAAATGCTCTCCATCACTAATCATCAGGGAGATGCAGATCAAAACAACAATGAGATATCATCTCACACCACAGAGACTGGCACACATCCAAAAGAATAAAAGCAAACGGTGCTGGCGTGGATATGGGGAGAAAGGGACTCTCCTTCACTGCTGGTGGGAATGCCGACTGGTTTGGCCCTTTTGGAAAACAATATGAACATTTCTCAAAAAATTAGAAATTGAGCTCCCATTTGACCCAGAAATACCATTTCTGGGAATATATCCTGGAGATGCAAAAAAGTATAGTAGAAATGACATCTTCACTTGTATATTTATTGCAGCACTATTTACATTAGCAGGAATCTGGAAAAAAAAAAAAAACAAGTACCCAAGAACAGAAGACTGGTTAAAGAAACTCTGGTACATCTACACAGTGGAATACTATGCAGCTATTAGAAAAGATGAAATCATGAAATTCTCATGTAAGTGGGTGATATGGAAAGTATCATGCCAAGTGAAATGAATCATAAAGAGAGGGACAGACATAGAATGACTGCACTCATTTGTAGAATATAAAGTAACATAATAAGAGACAAACACCTAAGGATAGCAGAGATAAGAGCCAGGAGGATCACTCCACAGCTTGGAACCCAGTCTCACATGCTGGGGGGAAAAGGCAGCTGGGATAAAGAAGGGACCACTAAGTAAATGATGGTTGGAGGGCTCGCTCAGGATGCATGCTGAAAGTAGACTATGGAACAAACATGATGACCGCTTAGTATCTGTATTGAAAACCATAACACCCAAAAGGAGAGAGAGAGTAAGAAAGAATGTGCCTACCACAGAGGCAGGGGGTGGGATGGGGTAGGGGTGGCAGGAGGGATACTGGGAACATTGGTGGTAGAAAATGGGCACTGATGGAGGGATGGGTGCTAGATCATTGTATGACTGAAATGTAATCATGAAAGTTTGTAAGTCTGTGACCGTATCTTACGGTGATTCATTAAAAAAAAATAATTTAATTTTAAAAAATAATAGTCACCCACTCAGTGCCAGGTTGGAAAGAGACAGAAAGAGAGACCAACCCATACTGCCTGAGCATGCTAATCCCACCTCAAACCCACAGTCAGCTTGGGGAGGTCAGAGAAGGTGTCCGCATGCCTATCCCAAGGAGAAGAACAGAGCAGAATAGGACACAAGAAGAGCAGGAACACTTTATGATTCCATGTTTGCAAGAAAAGTCTGCTTGTACGGCACACATGTGCAAGGAGACTGCCATAAATCTAGCTGTGTCTTAGTGAGGAATTTCATTTTTCTCCTTATGCTTATTTGTATTTCCAAATCTTTCTACAAGGAATTCTAAAAAGAATTTTTAAAATATTTTATAATATGCTTTAAAAGAAAAGAAAACAATGCAGTTTGCTCTCAAATAGAGTCCAAGGCAGCCCTGCAAGTTCCCCACTGGGAGGTCCTTTAAAATCTGCCAAAGCCCAGTGCCAGTGATGGCCCTGGGGACCAGCCCTGTTTCTAAGCACAGGCCAGTTCCAAGATATACAATCAGAGGCCCAACAAGCGCTCTTTGGAAAAGACATTTACAACCTGGCCAAATGGCCATGAGAAGATGTTTCCAGCTGCAAACCAGCAGCGTCCTGAACTTCTCCCTTTACCTCATCAGGCAAGAACGTCTGCCAAGCTCCCAGCTGCAGCCCCAATGCAACAGGCTGCGTTTTAACAATGTTTCTAACAGCCCTGAGACAGGACATGGGTTTGCCCAGAACAAACTGGGCTGGCTTGGCCAGAACAAGAGGCTATCTGCCATAAAGGAGTAAAATCTGTCTAAGCAGGACTCCCCCCACGCCTGGGGGTTCTGCCTCCAGGTGGTCAACTCTTCATGCTTATTTGTATAAATAAGCATAGGAAGGCAGTGCCCAGCGGAGTCTTGCCCATGCTCTGAGGCATGGCTAGCAAAGGCACTGCTAGCAGAGGCACTGCTAGCAAAGCTCAGAGCAGCAAACAGCCCCCCTCAACCCAGGGAGGGGCAGCAGGTGTCCCAACTCTTTTTTTTTTTTTTTTGCTTTGCTTTTTGGGTCACACCCTGCGATGCACAGGGGTTGCTCCTGGCTCATGCACTCAGGAATTACTCCTGGAAATACTCCTGGTGGTACTCAGGGGACTTTATGGGATGCTGGGAATCGAACCCAGGTCGACTGCGTGCAAGGCAAACGCCCTACCCACTGTGCTATGGCTCCAGCCCTGTGTCCCAACTCTTTCATGTCTTAGTCATTCCCGCATTCAGTCACCCGATCCCTCCGGCAGCCCCTCTGGATCTTGTCTACACTGGCCTCTCATTTCATCTGGCCTCTGGTCCTCACCACTTTACATCGTACTCCATCTCTAGGGTTGACTGTGGGTCCCCCAGAGGTTCTCTACTGCCCTGGGCGGACAGTCCGGACTCCTCAGCTCCAAGTCCCTTTTGACTCCATGTGACCCCTCCTTGCTGTCCCCTGCAGTCCTATCTTCTAATGATTGAACAATCAATCGATCGTCAGGCTTCGTGTCCTTTTCGCTCAGAACTACGACCTCACAGGAAAACTGTGCTCCTTCCTTGATAATGTACCACACCGCCAAATTCCTCCAAATGGATCCTCATGCTTGCTGTCCCACCTGTGAACATGTGATTAGCGTGTTCCACTCTCCTGCTTTGGTAACTAGACATGCAATGGCCACGTTGGTTCCCAGTCAACCTGTTGGCAAAGACGGGTAGCCTCTGTGAATGGGAACCACATAAGGGGCACTTCGGACCTACTTGCCGCCACCTCCTTTCTGGGTTTCCCCTGTCTCCAGGGCATGTGGCCACTTGTCCTGACTCAGACCCAATGGAAGGGACCACAGAGGCCCTAAGTCTCCGGCACCCTCCTCCACTTCTAGACACCAACAAAAGGGGACAGAGGAGTAGGCATGAAGACAAGCTCATTCCTCAGGAGGCCACTCCAGCCAAGGAAGGACAATGGAGGCCAGCAGATAATGGGAGGTTAGCAGATAAAATCCCTCCCCGCCTCGCAACAAGGAACTGCCTGTGACGCTGTGGCGATGGCCCAGAAAAGTGCTGCAAGAATGAGCAGTCAGCGAGTGTCCCTGCCGGCTGGTCCATTGGTAATACACCACTAGTCAGAGCTTCCTGCTCTGCCGCAGGTTTCCTGGGCCGCACCCAGGCTATCCCATCTCTGCACCATCCAGTCAAGCATTAAGCACTTAAGCACTGCCTCAGGCTCTGTTTTCTAAACTAAGATAACCACTATTCATGATCCCCCAAATCTTTCATTTCTACCACCTAATCCTCACCAGAACTTTGTAACCTAGATTATCATCTCCACTCCACACACAGATCTCTAAACTAACTGAGGCTGAGCATTTCCGGTTGCCTGACATGCTCCAGCAAATCAAGTACAGAACAAGACTCAACCCCAAACATTTTCCATTAGCTCTTCCTGTCAGTTGGTCCTACTCAGAAGAACTATCTGTGAAGTCTTCAACATAAGGATCTCCCACCTGGGCCACGCCCAGGCCAATCCCACAATCCTGAATGGATTCACGAAGTTGCCTTGTGGACATCCCTCACTGCATCCTCAGGGAGGGAGGACAGCAGATGGATCCAGAAGACAACAACATAGTGGTCCAGCTCAGGGGTGGCCCCTCCTGTCCTCAGCAGAAGACAGGCAGGACAGCCCAAAGGAAAGGCCCACCTGTCATGGGGGGCAGACACCCCCAGAATTAAATCTCAGCTCCACCACCACTTCCTGGCTCTGTGACCTTTGACAGGTGATGGGTCTCTTGGAAGCCTCGTTTTAACAAGCTGGCCGGAGTCCATAGACTCCGGCAAAGCAGGACATCTCCAGACAAGCTCTGCAGACAGTTTCTCAGTGCGAGGCCATTTCCCATCCACCTTATAGTGACAATGAGATGGCAGTGGTCAGCCCAAGATCAAGCACAATTCATACCAGCACCAAGGGCACTAAGGAAGACCCATGGGTTGAAGTGGCCTGCTGTCCAGCTGATGTCTAGGGAGTTAGAAGGTCAGTTTTGAGGACAATGAAGAAGAAACTGAGGCAATATATGGCCAATACCCAGACATAGGAGTCCCAGAAGAAATAAAATATTAATTCAGAAGAGACAGGCAGCTCTGACCGTCATGGAAAAACCCTGAGACGAGTCAATCCTCAACTCTAGGGTCCAGAGAGCATAGTCAAAAGTAAACCTTGTGGAGTACATGCCCAATTCAATCAGCCTAATCAGTGGCTGAATAAATAGCAGTACTCCTACATAAAAAAAAAAGTAAACCTTGAGCACCAGGTTGTGCCCCCCCCCCAAAAAAAAATCCTCAAGTTCATGAGGAAAATTCTCTAGCAAAAGGTGGAAGTACAGAGACAGAGAAACTGTACAGTTTGATCCCCCAGCTTAATCCCCAGATACCACAAAGTAGCCCCAGAGTATCACCAGGAGTCACTCCTAAAAAAGAGCCAGGAATAGCTACTGATCAACCACTCCAGTCCATCCCGCCCCCCAAAAAAAAAATATATATATATATGAGTCTGGACCAACACTATAGGATCTCATGTATTTCTGTACCTCTGATCAGTTCACATCAGGACCAGGCATCAAGAACAAGGCCTCACTTGGCACAGGAATGCCAGGTACTGAGCGGGCTCCACTCCTGAAAGCACTTCCTGGCAGGTCTAGAGCAGGGGCTGGTCAGTGACCAGGTTCAGGCAGATCCCCTGAACCTAAGCTGGAAAATTCATGACTCAAATGGTTCAGTCTCCACCCTGCAAGGTCACCTCTGGATCAAAAAAAAATCTCTCTTCCGGAACTGCATAAAGTCTAGTCCAGACCTTTCATTTCCCTAAGCTCCTTCTGAAAATGTTCTTCTCCTCTATCCTCATCCCACCATAAATGCCAGAAACCACAGGAGTCACCAGCCTTCTCTGCCTTAGGGTAGGTTTGGGTACCACCCTGGGGCACTTCAAAAGTCTAAATTGCTAGGTCTGAACAAATTTTTCCAAGTATCACTCTTGTTCCAGCCTCTGTCTGGGCTTGCACGTGCCTGCATCAGAGCACTTCCTGCCAACTCCATCTGCATAAAATTAAACTCTTGACAGATCCCAGGGGCCAGGGACACACCCACCATCCTCTGCACACTATCGGCCAGCGTGGCCAGAAATCAGCCAAGAGCTTGTATCCAACCTCAGACCCTCCCAGGGATGTGGGAGGACAGAATCAAAAAAAGAAAGGCTCTCTTGGGAAATGAGCAGACCCCAGATCATTCACCCCACTCATTCCTCAGGGCTGTACCCACATACTCTTTCCTTCTGATGAATACTCAGGCTCTGGGCTTCTCCCGTCTTCTGCCAGTGGCCAGCATAAAACAGCAATCTCAGGGATTATAAAGTACCCAGGGCCAAGAAGAGAACTACCAATGGCACCTCCTCTCCTTCCCCCTCATTCCAGTCCCTGGCATACACTCAGTAGAAATAAGGACCACAAGAAGATTCACTGTGGTCAGGCTGAACCAGTGACAAGGTAAGCACTGAACTGCCCATTTCAGGGCCCACAACAAAATAGAAGAAGTCACAGACACTGCCCAGTGGTCACTACGTCTGACTGCTGGACTCTCAGAGAACTAGAGTGACCCATTATGGCATCTCTGGGGATGAGGCCCGCTGCCAATTCCCTCCATCCTTGCTACGTGGCTTCCTTGGCTGGGCCACAGTGGATAGGCTTGGCCTTCTGAGAACAGGAAGGCCCCAGATGATCCAAGGCCAAAACATTTCACAAAAGGAGAAGTGAACAGATAGGCTGGGTCCAAGGTGAGATACTGCACCCTAGACATACCAGGGACGAAAGCATCAGATATTGGTTCATTTACCAGAGAACTAAACTATGGAAGCTGCCACCCCAGATGTGATGGAAGCTGAGAAGCAGCAGCTTGCAAAAAAAGTCTTGGGACTGTCCTAAATTACAGAGTGACGAAGCCCCCAACTCTTACTGTCAGGGTGAGCATCTCCTGCAAGCTGGCTGAGGGCGACAGATGTGGGTCTCCATCTAAGGCACCTCTCAGACTTGGAGGGATGCAAATGTTCCTCCACACCTTCTTCTCCCGGGATGGGAGTGGAACAGAGAAAACGGGAGCAAGTCTGCGGTCACTGTGCCCTGTTTCCGCCCAGGGCACAGAACACTGTCCTCTGGCTTTGGGTTTCTGGTAGAGTGATAAGGGTCCCCCATCACCTTGTGTCCACTAGTGAGTCTTGTTTCCCAGTTTCCCCACAGGCTTCAGTGGACTGCATCACCCTTGTTCCAGCTCAGGGATGTCCTAATGCTGGAAGCCCTCTGGTCTATGCTACCCAGAGTCGGGTGCTCCCTCCCAGCCCTGCACTCACCACGCTCGCTGTTTAGAGTCTGGCCTCTCGGGATCTGATCTTCGGTTCCTCGGCTTCTCTGGACTCCCGAGCCAGGGCTGTGTGCTGGATTCTGCCCGTGACTACGGTTCTCCGCGCAGCAGCTAAGGCAAGACAAGCCGAGTTTGTAAGGGATGCCTGGGAGGGAGGGATAACGTTCTCGTCCCATAGCCCCTCTAGGCGGGCACCAGCCTGAACCCTGCGGGACCACGACCCCGTGCCCTTTTACAAAGGACAAGGGCTCTCCCGGACGGCGAGCGGCCAGCGCCGTCCACCAGGCAGCCCTCGGGGCCAGGCCGCCCTGCCCGGGGCACGACAGGGTGCGGCGGCCGCGGGGACCGGCAGGAAGGGCGGCGGGGACAGGAACCCGGGCGCCTCGGAACCGGGGCTGCGGGCGCGGGGCTGTGGCTCTCACTGCGCCCCTCGATCCTCCCCCCCTCCGCTCCCCCCAGTCGGAGCCCCGCGCCCACCCCCGCCCGCACCCCTCCGGTCTCCCGAGACCCCCGGAGGCCAGAGCGGGGGCGCTCACCTGGACACGCGCTGTCCAGGCGTTTCCAGAAGCTCCGGTTGCGGCGCGGGGCCAACGCGGCGGCTCCTCCCGCGGCTCCGCCCCCGCGCGGCCGCTCCGCCCCCTTGAGCCGCCGCCACGTCCCCCCTCCCGCCCCTCTGCGGCCCCCAGCAGCCTAGGCTGGGGGCGTCACCCACGGGGGCCTCCGAGCCGGCCTGGGCTGTGCCGGCGGGGAGGCGGGAGCTGGCCGGGGCCGGGCGGGAGCCGCCCACCGCCCGCAGCACGTACACAGCCCGCGGCCGCCCCCGCGCCCAGCTCTGGCCGCGGCTCTCCGGCCAGCGGGGGCGTCCGGGCGCCCGCCCGACGGCTACCACAAGCACTGCCGGGCGCCCGCCTCGACGCACACCCTCCCCCTACCCCCTCCGCCGGATCAGCACCGTCTGACCACAGAACACTAGGGTCACCCTGGACTTGGAATCGGGGTTTCAAAGGATGGGAGTGGGGAAGCCCCTCAAGACGACTAGGGATGGTGTCGGAGTGTAGAGGGGTCAGGGCACTGGCCTTGCATGTGGATGCCCCGGGTTCAATCCGAGCACCACCACGAGCCCCACCAGGAGTGACCCCTGAGCCCTGCCGGGTGTGCCACCTCCAATAATAACAAGACGGTGGTGACGTTGGCTGGGGACATGGGGGCAATGCCACCGCCCAGCCCCACCACCGCCCCAGCTCCCAGAGGGATTCCCAGCGTTCCAGCACCCAGCAAAGTGCTTCTGGCTATGGATTAATGAGGTAGAAGCCTGTCAGACTAGGGCGGGCAAGGGGGACACATAACCACCTCTGGTTGACTCAAATCCTTCCATCAGGGCCCAACATCTACTCAGAACAGTGACACCTCATTGGTTGTGGAGGCGGGAAGGGCATGAAGACAGGGAGGCCACAGACTTCAGTGAGCCCCAGGAGGTCCTGGCGGCCAGGAGGTTCCCACGCCTGCTCTGTGAACCTTCCTGGTCATAAATGAAGGGGAAAAGTCTGAGAATCTCATCAGGGAGCTGGTTCCGAATGGCAGGCTCCCAGCCTCTGTCCAGGCCATATACAGACATTCCCTGTGGCACACTAGCCAGGCAAGCAGCTCAGCTAGGGAACCTCCAAGCAAACACACAGAATTACACACATAAGCCGAACTGATAGTACAGAGGCTCGGGCATTTACCATACATACAGCTGATCCATGTTCGATCCCGGGCATCCCATATGGTCCCCCAAGCACCATCAGGAGTAATTCCTGAGTGTAGAGCCAGAAGATACACCCCACCACCACCACCACCAAACAAAAAATGAAAGTTGTACAGAGTAAGAGATAAGACACCAGCAAAGTTTGACTTAAACTAAACAAATTTTCCAGCATGTGCTACAGCCTGCTACACCCCCCCCCCCCCCCCCCCCAGTAAACTCCCTCTGCCCACCTCTCCCTCCCAGCCTCTCTTCTCAGGAGCTTGTCCTGTGGCTCATCTACTGAAGGTTCAACCCTCCCCTCTTAGCTGAATTCTTCCATGGCCTATAAATAAATTCATGTCTCACTATAGACACAAAGCCCTCATTCCACCCACCCACTGTGTTCTCTTCTCAAGTTCAAGTTCAGAAAACTCACCTCTCTCTGCTCACCCCACACCAACCAGGTCTTTTTTTTTTTTCTTTTTTGGCTTTTTGGGTCACACCCAGTGATGCTCGTGGCTCTGCACTCAGGAATTACTCCTAATCCTTCTGGCAGTGTTCAGGGGACCATATGGGATGCCGGGGATTGAACCCGGGTGAGTCATAACATGTAAGGCAAATGCCCTCCCCACTGTATTATCACTCTGGCCCCAATACCAACACAGGTCTTACTACGTTTCCTTGACCTCCAAATCTCTGAATTCAATAGCCACATGCCGGTCCTCATCTGCAGCCCCCAGCAGTGTGTAAAACCCAGCAGCCTTCGACCTGCTTCCCTCCAACATCCCTTGCCTTGATTGCACCATCTGGTCTTCTCACCTTGGTTTGCCTGCCCCAGCCCTAACCCCCATCTCCCTCTCTGCCTCCCCACTAGTCAATAAAGGCTGGAGTTCCTCAAAACACAGGAAGGCAAACTCAAGGAACAGGGGATGTGACTCTGTGGTAGTGTGTCTGCCTTGCAAGTGTGAAGCCCAAGGTTGGACCCCCTGGATGCAAAAAAAAAAATACTGACTACTGACTACTATCCTTCCATTGTTCATTGATTTGCTTGAGTGAGCCCAGTAACGTCTTCATTGTGAGACTGGTTACTGTGTTTGGCATATCGAATACGTCACGGGTAGCTTGCCAGGTTTTGCCGTGCGAGCGAGATACTCTCAGTAGCTTGCTGGGCTCTTCAAGAGGGGCGGAGGAATCAAACCTGGGTTGACCAGGTCGGCTGCATGCAAGGCTAACGCCCTACCTGTTGTGCTAGCAAATAATAATAATAATAATAATAAAATAAAAATCGAGTAATGGGGCAAGAAGGAAGAGAGCATACTTAGCATGTGTATAGCCCTGAGTTCAAACCCTGGCACCACATGCTACCCTGGGTATCACTGGGCATAACCCCGTTAACCCCCAGCACTGCCAGGTGTGACCCCTCCCTGCCCCAGCAGAGCAAGCACCTGGTACAGTGTGAGCACCCCACAAGGCCATGACAGGTGTGGCCCTATTCAGACTTGGCCTGAGGTTGTGGCAGGGCAGTCAGAAGTAGAGCACACAGCTTGCATACCTGGGAACCTGGATTCAATCCCCCTACCCGCTTCCTGAACAGGAAGGGAACAGTTCTGGTCCCCGTGCTTTCTTTGCCTCTTTTCCTTCCTCTGCGCAAATGACTTACAGATTTCTCTCCTCCCCTTGGTCTGACCCCTGAGCTCCAGACCTCCAGTGTTCAGATAAGTCTCCTTCTCTGCTTGGATCTCCACGTGTGACCCTGAGTGGCTGCTCTCTCCCCTGCCCCACTCCGCACCTCCATGTCCCAGCTTCAGTGGAGAAAACACTCACAGGGGCCTGTGTGGAACAACTGGGGCTCAACATATATGGGGCTGTATGTGGTGTCAGGGGTCAAACCCAGGAACCTCACAGGTGCAAAGCGTGTGCTCTACTGCTTAAGCCATTTCCTGACCCCGACCCACTCTGTTCTTGTTTCCTCCCTGTCTCTCTTCCACACTACAGCCACTGTCCACTGTGGTCTCCTCAAAGGGCAGCGCTGATTTATGGTTTGGTTTGGTGGGGGCGGGGGAAGGACGCGATCTTTACTGGCTATTCTCAGAACTTAATCCTGGCTCTATACTCAGGAATAACTCCTGATCACTCAAGAGGCCATATATGGTGCCAGGATTGAACTCTGCTGTCTCTTGGCCTCAAAGGGCAGCTCTGTGTCCATCACCCCCACCTTTGTAAATTGCATGGGTCTAAATTGGCCTGTCAGATCCCACAAGGGCCAACCCCCACCCCACACTTCTCTAACCACACAGTCTTCCCTCCATGTCCTCTAATTGGACACTGTCCCTCACCACCCCACCTCTATCCTTGTATTTTCCTGTTTTTTCTGCCTGAACATTGTTCCTCCTTCCCAGTTGAATTCTTCAGATCCCCTTAGCTGGGATTTTCTGCATTTCCCTGACCAGGTCAAATCTTCCTATGATAGTTCCTCATACCTGCTTTGTAATGCTTGCCACAGTCAATATAATAAAATGAGGTTGGGATTGCTTAATATCTGACCCTCCACCTGCCTGGCAGCTGCACGAGTATGTAAACTATGTGTGTTTTTATCCACCATCCTATTCTCAGTTTCTCCATAGAACAGGGCTCAGTAAATATTTGCAGACTCATGCAGCTTTAAGAGAGAACAAAATCATGCAATTCGCAGCAACAAAGATGGAACTAGAGGATATTATGCTGAGTGAAGTCAGAAGGAAAGGGATAGACATAGAATCTCTCTAATATATGGGACTTAAAGATACACAGCAAAGTAGCAAAAAGGATCCAAAGGAAACATAATGGAAGAACTGATCCACACAATTAATTTGGGGGGGAGGGGGAACAGAGGAACCTGTGAGAGATGGTACTTAAGGTCTTTGAGAAAGAGAGAGGGGGTACACTGGTGATGGACGTGGTATTGGAATTATGTGCATGAGAAAGCATCATTAATAGCATTGTAAATTACAGAATATCAATAAAAATTAGCATATTTTCAAAGAAACATATATATATATATATATATATAGAACTCATTGTGGAGATGGGAAACCCACAGCATTGTAGGGCCTGGAAGCTCAGGGCCCCATCAGCTGCCAGATGCCTTCCTGGGAATGCCAGGCCCTGAGCAGGGCCAGGGTTCGCTGAAAGCCAGATCATTTCCTTGGTCTCCATGGCCCCTTGCCTTGCAGGAAGAAGCCATTCACTCATTCACTCATTCTTATATTCTTAACCTACTTAATCTCATCCAGAAGAGCCCATGTCTGGCTTAGCATCCTCCGTGGCCTCAGTTTCCCTTAGCATGAGGCAGCTTCTGATTCCATCCCAATGGAATCAAAAAGGAAACTATGATATTTCCTAGAGCTGCCAAACCAAATTTGTACAAATGAGGTGTGAAAAATTCAGACACATCTTCTGTCACAGTTGTAAAGGCTAGAAATGCGAAACAAAGGTGCTAACAGACCAGGCACTCTCTGAAGGCTGTGGGGAAAACTCTCCCAAGCCTCTTCCAGCTCTCAGTGGTTCCTGGTGTTTCCTGGCTTGTTGCATCCCTCCAACCTGGACCCATCTTCCACGGTCTTCTCTTCTACATCTGCACCTTTTTCTCTTCTGACTCTTTTAATAGCAGGTTTAGGACCCATCCAGGGAATCAGGCTGATCTCATCTCACAGTCCTTAATTGGATTTGTAGTCTCCTCTCTTCCAATAAAGTCACATTCATATAAATCCATGGCCATGGGCTCATGTAAATCCACGGCTCTCAGTTCTGAATCATTGGCTCTGGCTTTTCCAAAACTGTATGGCCTTTCCTGTGTGTCTACTTGGGAGGTGAACTTACTGTGTCCCCGTGCACTCCCCCACACCACCTAAACTGCTTATGGTATAGCATTACCTGTGTCTTTGGGGAAATCACTTCCACTTTCTTCTCCACCACATTCTCCCC